CAAGACCAAACTCTATAGATATTAAGATATAGATATTATCGATATGGTTAAGAGATATCGCTTCAGGAGTCGAGCAACGTTTACGAATGCCACTCAAAGAGAAATCGATTAAAGTGTTGCATAATGCGAACTTAAGACATTTACACACATTAATTTAGCACTTCTTGCGCTGCTGAAAACTTAATTATAATGCAATGATGTGGTAAACATTTAACAAATTGAATAAGTCCCAAATCATAACAGGGCACAGAGACAAAGGCAGGGAGAGAGAGAGAGGTGGAGAGGGAGAGGGAGAGGAATATATGCCAGCAAACATTCAGATACGCGTAGAGCTCAAGCACAGGCACAACTTGTGCTCCTCAGATAATTTGAAGTGAACACACAAAGTAATTATGAAAACCACTTGCAAATACGAGAGACACACACACACACACGCACACACACTGACACACACACAGTGAGTGAACATATTTACTCATGTAAGTGAATGTCTGGCAATGGGGATCCAGGGACTGGTCTGGCCAACAAGTTTGCCCTGAGTCGCAGCTCGTGCGAGTCATTACAAGTTACGCTAATCAAGTTGAACGTGCGCATCGCCAGCAGCAGAGGCGTTGGCAGCGGTGGCAGCAGGGCGTGGCTGGCAGCCGGATGCCTGGCAGACCGCTACAAGGGCAACCAGCGAGTGGCGTCGAGTGTTTGAGACAGGAAATGACAATTCAAATTAAAGACAACGGCTCACCCAAAATACAGCAAAAAAAATCATGAGAAGAAGCCAAAGACTGACTGTGGCGAAACGATGTGCAAATGGCAGTGGCAGAGGCAGAGGCAGAGCCGTTGGAAGGGGCACTGAGGCAATTGGAGTTGCAGGAACTGCCTACGTACGTTTCGCAATGCCACTTAACATGAAATTAATTATGAAAGTTTTGTACAACATTTTGTTGAACGAGTTGAGGAAACCTTCAATGCTGCCGACGTCGCTGCCAGCAGCAGCAGCAGCAGCAGCGGCCCCATTGGCCAAGTGCATTTCGCGCAGGAGCAAAAAAACGAGCCTGGTCATGAGTATGAGAAAATTAAGTATACGCCACGTAAGCCGCAAGTCTGTTGCGGATGCCCAGCATGAGGAGAGCAGAGCGTGCGTCTGTGTGTTTGATTGTTAGGGTGTGTGTGTGTAAGTGTGTGTGGCCACAGCAAACAGCAGACGCAACAGCGCTAAGCATGGCAAGTTTGTTGTTGTTTAAATGTCGCCTCCGGAAACGAGCAAAAGGAAGAAAAGCAGCAGCAACAACAGCGACTTGTCACCCGAACAGGAAGAGAGCTGCAATTAGAAACGCACAGCGCAGCAAGCAGCAAGCAGCGCTGCCAGCAGTCCGCAGTCAGCAGCAACCGGAAATATGCCCAAAAAAGTAGGCAACAACTTTTTTACAGCGCAAACTTTTACTGCTGCGGCAGTCGCAGTCGCCGTCGCAGTTGACGTCGCAGTTGACGTCGAGTTGTAAGTTGTTTTACTTGAAATTTTTAATTATGATTTAATGTTAAAATACGGAAATAATTTGCGGCAAACAACTTTCGTCGTCATCGACGAAGCGTCGCAACGCTTCAGCAACTTTATTCCATTTGCCAGCAATTGCAACTGAGTGTGTGCGTGTGTGTAAAATGATTGACGACTGTGCAAGCAACTCATTATGCAACTTTCATATGCGACAAATCAAATAAATTTCAAATTGAACTGAATTCAGAGCAATAAACTTTACTTAGCTTTGATTATTAATCAATTTTGTAGAAAAGTAAATCATTTTCAGATTCATACAATTTATAATAATATAAAAAATAATAATAAGTATAACTGTAATAAGCAAAGATAATAATTGTATTTAAATATAATAATATAAAAACAAATTGTTTCTTTCACTTCTTCTAGCTCAACTCGATTTTTTCTTCTTTTTGTGTGCTATTTTCTCTTCTTGGCACTATAAACATTTGTAATCGAACCTGGGATCCCTAATTGAATTCTAGGTGCTAATTTTCATACATATATATATCATACAGATCAGCTTTGATATAAGTTTCGTTTATAAACTCAGCTAACTGTCTAGACTTTGAAAATATATTTATTTATAATTTTTAATTTATTTTTTATTTTTTTTTATTATTTATTTTTTATTTTTATTATTTAATTTTTTTGTTATTGGCCTGCTGATATATAGGGTATATTAAAGTCGTTCGTAGTCAGTTTGTTTTTATTGACGAACAATGTGCACTGACATGCAGAAGATTTCGTGTTATTGCAGCTTTGATTAAAATGTGTCGGGCTTTTGTCAACGTTGCGGCTGTGGCACATATCTTCAGACATTCCGGCACACACGCAGTATAAGTGTGTGTGTGTGTGTGTCAAGCTGTTTAGTATGCAAGTTGCCTGCTCATCGTAAAATCGCATTTATATGTTGTTTATTCTTCGCATAAACAATATGTACAATGTGAATGAATTACCTCACACACACACGCACACACACACACACGCACATTGCTGGATGTTTACTTTATAGTGCCAGCATTTTGTTCTCTTTTGGTTTGTTTGTTTGCGCTTTTTAACAACATTTTCATGCACTTTTATTACATTTCCTCGATGAAATTTTATTGTTCTGCCACGAGAAAAGCAACAAAATTTATACAAATTGTGCACAAATATTTTGATACATGAGCACCACAAAAACAAAAACAACAAAAACAAAACCACAAGCTTATCATAAAAAAGCGAGCCGAAATGACAAAATGTTTCATATTTGCTCAAGCTTGACTTGCTGTCAACACGTTTCGCCTTACGGCAAGTCGATTGTTTGCTCTAGGATAAATGTATTTATATTGCTTGGAGCAACACGAAGCATTTCAATTTAGCATATAAATTTATATATATCTAATTACTTGAAAATATTATAGTTTTTAATTGAAAGTTGATCAAATTTACAATATTCTCTTTCTTTTATATCTTGGAATGGGCATTGACATCGTCCATAGTTGTAGAAGCTGGCTTAGAAGCAATATTCTTTGTTATATACTACTTTATCAGTTGATGTTTCTACTTATTCAGAATAGCGCTTCCTTCAATACTCTTCGCTAATGTTTAATATTTTAATATGAATTGGGTCAGGTGTAATCCTATCTTTGACAGAATTGGCAAAATTATGGTCAAATTGAGCGCGATAACTACAATTGCATCAGGGCATGTATAACTGTTCTTCTAACTAGCTTGAATTTCCTTTTTGTTGAAGAGATTAGAGATGATATTTCTATACTTTAAGTATCTATGTATGCCTGATTGTGTATTAATGTCTACCTTGATGTATGCATTTATCTGTCTATCTGTCTATCTGTACTTATACAAAGAGAACACGAATACTGCATATTTAAGTATATATGCTTGTCTGCGTGTGTGCTTGCATGTAATGTATGTGGATGTATGTGGATGTATGTGGATGTATGTGGATGTATGTGTATGTAAGCATATATGTCTGCCTACATGTATGTATGAATATATGTATATATGGATGTATCTATACAGTCATCAATCTATCTATCTGTCTATGAATTTAAGTATCGAAGTATCTAATTATCTAATTATCTATAAGTTTATAACTCTATAACTCTATAAGTCTATAAGTCTATAAGTCTATAAGTCTATAAGTCTATAAGTCTATAAGTCTATAAGTCTATAAGTCTATAAGTCTATAAGTCTATAAGTCTATAAGTCTATAAGTCTATAAGTCTATAAGTCTATAAGTCTATAAGTCTATAAGTCTATAAGTCTATAAGTCTATAAGTCTATAAGTCTATGTAACTATGAATCTATGAATCTATGAATCTATGAATCTATGAATCTATGAATCTATGAATCTATGAATCTATGAATCTATGAATCTATGAATCTATGAAGCATTGAATCATTGAATCATTGAATCATTGAATCATTGAATCATTGAATCATTGAATCATTGAATCATTGAATCATTGAATCATTGAATCATTGAATCATTGAATCATTGAATCATTGAAGCATTGAATCATTGAATCATTGAATCATTGAATCATTGAATCATTGAATCATTGAATCATTGAATCTATGAATCTATGACTTTATCAATTGATTCTGGGATTCTGTGGATCAATGAATCTATAAATCTACGAATTTTCGAAGTTATGAACTTATGAATCTATAAACTTATGAAACTTTGATTCTGTGAATTTGTGAATCTAAGATTCTATGAATCTATGAATCTATGAATCTATGAATCTATACTGCCGTCCAACTATGCTTTAATTATATGTATGTATGTATACATGATGTAATGTGTATATGCTTGCATGTAATGAGTGTGCCTGCATGCATGAATTAATGTACGAATGTGTGCATTCATTCATCAATTTATCTATCTGTCAAAGAGATGAATGAATGTATTTGTGTACATTCATCCAACCATCTGTCTATCCATTATCCAACAAGTTGTCTATCTCTGAATCAATATATCTACAGCTCTTAGCATATGTTTCAATAGCTACTTAAGCTGCCATTGCTTTATTCTTTCAAGCCTCATTTCACTGTGTTATTTACATCTTTTCAAATCGAATACATATGTATGTATATGTCTAGCCTTGCAGCACATCTTGCTCAACTTTTCAACTCCACACTCCACTCCAGTGGCTGGGGCATAGCTCCGTATTAAAAATTAATCAAATTATTAAAGTGTCAGAACGATACGCCCATTCCTCAATATAAATAGAACAAAAAACTTTTATTTTTGCCAAACAAAATTATTTGCTGTGTTTGTCACAGAAGTTGAGCGCTGTGAAAAGGGACAAATTGTTTTTCGAAATTCAAGTGGACGCAGAACAAGGGTAAAAGTTGTGCACAACTTCGATCTTTGGCCAAAATGTATACAAACAGACAAATATATATGTATAGATTTATATATATATGTATATGTATTGAAATGGTGGTAAATACTCACAGTGTTTGCTCTTCTCGGCGGCCACTTGGCTCTGCGGCGTTTGGGCCACAATGGCAAAGAGCAGCAGGAGCATTAGAAGCCATTTGGGAATGCCCGTTGCTGCTGCTGTTGGTGTTATCGGGCTGGTTGGACTCTGGGTCGTTGCCAGCTTACGTAGTTGATTGCGTGTGTGCTCGTTCGCTAAGCTTGGGTCAACGGCGCGTGCGACCGCTGGCGGTCCGGGGCCACACGATGTTGGCATCAGCAGCATTGTGTGTTGTCTCAATTTTCGCGATTTTCACAAATTTCACTGCAGCTGCTGCAGCTGGTCGAAGTGTTTGGTGTTGTCGTTGTTGATCTAGCAAGCGTTATTCCTTTTATTCTGCTCGTATTTGTGCGGGCAAACGTCATTGTTTCGCAATTAAAAGCATTCATTTATGAGTTTTCCCGCTGCGCCCACGCGGCGTATGCGCTATGTTCTAATGCTCAGCCAAATGCGCGCTGTTCGCGCATTTCTCGCCCATTTCCGTATTAATTGTCAGTTGCTGCATTTATCACGAAGCCTGCAAAGCGAAAACAGAGCGAAAATTCACAGCAATTAGAAATCGCATTTCTCATAATAGCGAAACATCGAAATCATATTCTAAAATGCCATTTCAATAGCTTATGGAATGCAACGAAACTTTTTATGCCTCTGATCTGAGCATGCAAAATAATCATAGAAATTCAATGAAAAGCTTTGTTGCCTGGGGAAGTGCACAAAGTCATCTTGCTTGTTGATACTATATTTTAATATATGAGTACGATATATCTGGGTAATTTTTTTAGGTGGCAAGACTAGTAGATACCCTGTCCAATCAAATGATACAATAGAGTTCAATCTACAACTAGCAGTTTCTACTCTGTGGGGAGCCTTTTTCTTCAGTTTCAGTTTTTAATAGTGACTGGAGCTGGATTAAGTGGAGAGCATGCGTGCTCTGATAAGTTGTTAACATAACCTTATTTGATACCATCATTATCTGCTAGGACTCTCAATGAATTTGATGCCTTACTTCATTTAGAGTTGAGTGCTATCCTCCCTCTTTCCATCTGTTTTTCTCTGCCTGCTGCTATCAGTAATTAAGCATTCTTAAATTCATAATTAAATTATTCACAATTAAATAACAAATTTATATTTTTCTTCCTTTCTCGTTGACAATTTGTGTATGCATCAATTCATATTAAGCGTACATCTTCTGCCACAAGACTCCACAGATATTATGATAATTAGAATTGAAAACAAAATTTTCATTTTCCATTTCTCTCTGAGCCATGCAATCCACATCAAAGGCATATTTTTATCAAAAGAATTCGCAGTCAAATGCCAAATTTCTTCCTTCTCTTTATCTATATGCGCCGCTGTCATAGCAAGGATCAAGGATATTCACAAATATTAAGCTGTTCATAATCAAATATCTAATCTTAATCTCCTCCTTCATCTGCCTGTCTCTCGCTGGCAGCTCTTTATCCCAGCAATTTATACTTTTTCATAACAAGCCCCAGATATCAAGTCTCTCCCCTATATCGCTGTCTCGTTCTCTTCTTGAATCTAGCGATTCATAAGTATCATACAAATCGAAAAATCGATGCATAAAATTATTCAAATGCCAGCGGCTATCCCAGCACAGGGCGTGCCTGCGGCAAGGGGTCGTATGCGCATTTAAAAGCAAATGAGATATTACGTATACGCAGCGCTGCCTACATAGTTTATTACGAAGCTGGCCAATAGACGTGCGCCTGTGCGTTTGAGGTAATAACAAGTCTCAACTGCATGACTGGGTAATAAGAAACTAGCGTTGATTTTAAAGAGAGCCAACAGCTCCCTTCGCCCGTTGCCAACCGAGCAGCTGCAGCCATAAAATAATTTCTTTAGCAAAGACGAGGGGGTGCGAGGAGGGGTGGCGGGGGGACTTGCTGCAGGCCGAGCGCAACGGGAGAGCTGGTTGGCATAGCTGCGCCTTTGTGCCATCAAAAGTTTATCACATTAGAAATCAACGGCAGCACCGAGCAGCCCGGGTCGCTGGTGAGGCGTGCACCTCCACCCCGGTTGCCCCCACCCTCCACTTCATTCTTGTGCCACATAAAAGGCAAAATAATAATGAGAAGCCAGAAGCAGCAGCAGCAACAGAATCGGGAACAGTGGCAGCAGCAGCAGCAGCAGCAGCAGCAAAAAAATTTATCACACATATTTTGTTGTGCTTTATTTGCTTGCAGCAGTTTCCTTGCTCTCTCGCCCCCTCTCTCTCTCTCTCGCTCTATTTTGCACCCCATCTCTTTCTCACTCTATTGCTGGACCATTCATGGCTCGGACTATAGATGTGTCACATACACGCTCAATGTTTGTTATTCTTCGAGCGTTCCAATTTCGCCTTTAATTAAATTTGATTATAGTTTTCCATTTTTCTCCCCGCTTTTCCGCTGCACGTTTCGACTTTTCCGCTAAGCTGACTCCCAAATTTGGCTGCAAGCGCTGTTATCTTAGGCAATTTGATTTGGCTAACGATTCAGTTCAGTTGCCTTGACCAAATTATTGATATTTTAAAATACTTGGCACACTGTGGCAGTCTTTGTATTTAGCCAAGAAAAACATCCCAAAATATCGTGATAGATATGATATAAAAATATATGTAAAACTAAATAATAAATATATATATGCATATTATAACAAAAGTCTGGCAGCATAGAGATGATCAGGGTAAATCCTGTCCGAAATATGTTGTATATAAGGAGCTTATCCAAGAAGTTGCATACCGTTCAGCTAAGCTGAAGGCCAGGCCACGTCAGAGTCGCTTTCTTAGCGAATCAGCTTTTCATATATTTAATGATATGACGCAGAAACTATTTGCATTTTTCGATTTTAATAAATTAAAATTTCAATTTAATTTGAAGTTTTATAGAAATAAATAAATAAGGGTAAAAACTTTGAGCGAAATTACAATTGACTGTTCTTAACAGGCTAGAGGTCATAGATTAGTCATAAAATATAATGAATTAACGTTTAAACAGAAAAAACAGGATCAGGTTTGTCATTTTGTCATAAGGCCCAGAGTCTGTTGGAAACAAGAGACTTAAGATCAAGGATCGGCAATGATCATACAATTCATTTTGTGATTTTGTTTACAATTCTGGGGTACTGGCTGACGTAGTTACGTAACTCATTAGAGATTGTTCGCTTACCAGTAAAATCTGTTGGAAACAAGAGATTTAACGATCGTTGATCGAGACTAATCATTCAATAATTTCATTCTTCAATGTCTTTGATTTACAATTGGTTTACTAAACTCTAAGCTAAGCAGCACATTTGTGCATATCAAAAGTGTTACAAATAATATATATATATATATATATAATTTATATATATAGAGAACAAATCCTAGGCCTGTCAATGTTGACCTGCAGCTTGCATCTACACTCGAAGATTGCAGATCATTGGATCATCAGTGGCAGTTTCTGTTCCGATTCTATTATCAGCTAATGACGACTTATTGAAATGCCAATCAGCAACTAAATCAGACCTTAGCTGAGAGTTCATTAAACTAGCCACAACAATTTTCTTGCTGCTGATAAGGTCTGATTTGGTATCACGAGTTTATTACCCTCGGGCAGTGCACAAAAATAAACAGAAAGCAATTTTCATTAGGGATAATTAGAGTTAATGATTGAAACTAAGTGAAACAAAGTAAGAGCTAACGTTTAAATACCAAATTTCAGTCAGCAGCTACAATGTGTATTACGTATCAGATTGAAATTTGTTGTGTTGCTGCTGTTGTTGTTGCTGTTGCTGTTGCTGTTGCTATAGTTGTTGCTGTTGGTGTTGCAGTTGTAGCCATGGCAACCAATTTGCTTGGTGTGGTCAATGGATATTGTTCAAAGTTCGTTCTACAATTCTTTTGGCCATTTCGTATTTGACTAATGAGAATAAATTGAAGCTGCCAGCCAGGCGAAGAGTCCAGCTTGAAGCACCGTTTCGGATAATCTCTTAGCCCTCTCAAATGGAGGGCTGGCCAGCCCTCAATTGGTCAATTGGTTTGCTTGCCGCCTAAAAGAGCGTAAAATGTAATTGTTGTTATATCACTCCGATCTGATGTGGCTGATGGACTGCGCCTGCTGTCGGGGGAAGCCGCATAAATTACAAAACACCGACAGTCGACAGTCGACAGTCGACAGCCGCCATCAACCAAAAAAGGAACAAAGGCCCAAAAGCAACAACGCGTCTAAAGCGGCTTTAGCCAGGCGAAACAAACAAAACTAACAACAGCAACAATAACAACAACTGACACATGTGTGTGTGTGTGTGTGTTAGGTGCGTAGAACATGGCACACAAAATGGAAACACACAATGGCTAAGCGAACAAAGCTAAAAACAAAAAGAAGAAGCACAAATTCTAGAGTAGCAAACAATTAATGGCCCTGTGGGGTTTCATCGGGCTATCGCTTTGGAGTTTCATTCCTGTTTGTTATTTAGGTCTCTATACAAGCACAGTCTCTATGCATATGTGTCTCTATATATGGTATATATACATGTACGATTGCTAGTGTTTGGCTGATATTATTATTGATATATGCTACGTACATACATGAAAACATAAGAAATTATTAAGACATAAGCACTTGATTGAAAGGCAGGAATTTGTGAGAACTGCAGAGAAAGGCTTGCAGCAGAAATACAGCGGAACCTTTAGATATACATAAATAAATAAATATATATGTTTATACAAGAAATTAAAGCATATTTTAAATGAATTATGACAAACATCTTTTAAAGCAGCTTTCTGTTCTCTTAATTTGCATGAATTCATGGATTATTTCTTGTGATTTCTGAAATTGAAATTACTATTCTCAGCACTTAAAAAAGGCTTAAAATCATATTGGCTTCAGTTACATATGCCGATCGATCACTGCTATTGAAAAACATCAATTCATGCTCCCATTTTGATGCATTAGCCCGAATACTCCACATGAGGAAACCCTATAAAAAGTACCTTGAAAAGCGTGTCATATACATTTATCAAAAAGCGGAACCAAATAAAGGAAAACTATAAATAAAAAAGAATAATCAGCGCTGTAACTCGCATTACACTGAATATTCACGAAATTTCCATTAACAACAGTACATTAAATCCTCAAAAAACAGAGAGAGGGAACACAGGCAACATAAAAACAAACAAACACACACTCACACACGCACACACACATACGTATATTAACTGCTGGTCTCCTGTAAACAAAAGAAATTACTTTATATGTAACGTCAAAGTGTTTTTATGTGTGTTGGCAACACTTTATCCAACACCCGCATGCACCCTAAACAACTCGCCGGCAAAATGCAAAAAGGACTCGTGCTCGGTGTCTCTGTCTCGATTTGCAGCACCTACCCCCGGCCCTGGCTGTTCCACGCCACGCCACGCCAAGCCACGCCACCCGCTCGGTCTGCCCGTCAGTCTAGCCACCCGTCTTTGGCCATGTCCATTTGTCTGCTGAATGGCGACTGCCAGCAGTGGAGCCAGCAACAACAGCGCGCTGCTGGCGCCACATACAAATACACACACACACACACACACTTACACACACACACATACACTTTCGTGTTTCATTGCCGTATGAGTAATTTTTCAGGCGAGTCGTCGAAAAGCCGCATTGTTTTGGCCAGCGCCCGCTCAATACTCACACATACCATTACACACAGTTGCACACACACAAGCACACACACACACGCACACTTACACACGCGCACTTATGCATTTTAAAGTAATTTTAACTGTTTTTCTTCCTTTTCATTCTCCCTCTTTTTTTTGGCTTTTGTTCAGGTACCGACGTCTGGGAAAGCTTTTGCGCTGCTTCACGTCATTTTTCATTTTACGTCATCGCCCTTAAATAGCGGAGTGCACGGCGGAAGCGGGCGTGTTCTACGTGAAGCCCAAAATAATGTAGAACAATTGTCAAGCTCTTAAATATTGATAGATGGCCGCAAAAAGGCAACTATTTATGTTTACATAAATTCTACAAACTGAGCATGAATTAGGCGAGAACGAAGTGTGGAGAAGTGAGCGCCAAACTCTGTAGAAGCTATAAATAATCTTAATTAGCATTAACAGGCGACGAAAGAAGAAGAAGAGGAAGCCATGTTTGCCTGCCAACGGTCTTTGAAGTGTGCACAGCGTAAAGTGACACGAAGACCCTTCTATGAAATCCACTTTAAAGTTAATTAAAGCTCAGCTCAATATCTAACAACTCTTCGAAATTACCAAAGGTTTAGTGCTACAATATTTAGAGTTTGTCCGGAATAAGCTCGCTGACAGACTAAACTAAACCGTGAAATCGCTAAACTAAATAGATAAAATTGATTTATTATTTTGATAATTGATAAAAATTTATAAAATTATTTATAAATTATCTACATTATCTATATTTGTTATATTATCAATAAAAGCTATATATTTATTTTTGTATATATTCATATAGGTATTTTTATAATGCAAGGCAATCTGCAGGGTATTTATCAGTCGGACATTGCTTCCATTGCATTCAGTCTCAGTAAAAGCGCAAAATGTATTAAGGACATTTGGATATAAAACAAAGGACACAGTTAATATTCTTGCGAAAATTTAATTTTATTTTGTACCCAAGAATAAATCAAATATAAAAGGACACTTTTAAAGGACTTCCAGCATGGTAAACAAATATCAGGACTTTAGAGAAAATGAATAAAAAACGAAATAAGCAGAAAAAGGAGATCAATATAAAAATAGAAATAAATTTTTCCAGATTTTAAGATCAAATATCTATATGTATTTTCGAACCGAGTAATCCTAGCATTAAATAAAACTGAATTATAGTTAAGAAACTAAATACAAAGCCGGAATATCACTAAATAAATTAAGAGAATATGCCAGAGGTCATACAATTAGCTGGCGTCCTGTCTGGCCACAGTGGCTGGGTGACTCAGGTGGCGCCCCATCCGTATGATCCGGATCTGTTGGTCTCCTCGTCAAGGGATAAGACCATCATTGTGTGGCGCTTGACGCGCGAGAGCCAGAACAACTATGGCTACACGCTGAAGCGAAATTATGGCCACTCGCATTTCATCAGCGACGTGGTGCTCTCATCTGACGGCAACTTTGCGCTGTCCGGCTCGTGGGATCGCACCATTCGACTGTGGGATCTGACTGCTAGCGCCACAACGCATCGGTTTGAGGGACATGCCAAGGATGTGCTGTCCGTGGCCTTTTCGCCGGACAACCGCCAAATAGTCTCCGGCTCACGCGACCGCACCATCAAGCTGTGGAACACGCTGGCCGATTGCAAGTACACCATTACGGATGATTGCCACACCGATTGGATATCGTGTGTGCGCTTCTCGCCCAAGCACTCTAATCCCCTAATCGTCTCGTGCGGCTGGGATCGTACGGTTAAGGTGTGGGATTTGACCCACTGTAAGTTACGTAACAATCACCACGGTCACACTGGCTATCTCTCGACGGTGGCCGTCTCGCCGGATGGCTCGCTGTGCACGTCGGGCGGCAAGGACGCTAAGGTGCTGTTCTGGGATTTGAGTGATGGACGCAATCTGTATCCGCTGGACCATCATGACGTGGTCAATGCCATGTCCTTTTCGCCCTGTCGCTATTGGCTTTGTGTGGCCTGCGGCTCATCAATAATTGTCTGGGACTTGGCATCGAAAAAGGCAGCATTCGATCTCTGGCTTGAGGATGTACCGCCTACGGCGAAGGGTGATCTGCCGCAATGCCTGTCGCTGGCCTGGTCCATCGACGGCCAAACTCTCTTTGCCGGCTACTCCGACAACAAGATACGCGCCTGGCAGGTGCTTACCGGCCAATAACATTCAAACCCCACCCACACTCACTCCTTGGTCTTCAGTAACATTGTAACATTCAATAACCAACTAGCTGATTTGTTTATTCTATGTTAAGGGACAGCACACGGGCTACGAAACGAAATCAAATAAATTCAATCTGATTTATCTTCTCTTATGCCTAAGTATTTGTAAGTATCAAATGGAAGCCGTAAAAAGTTACGCGAAGACCATCCTGGGAACCATCTTAGATCTCAGATCTCTACAATGAACTAAACCAGATTTATCTTATATCTTCCTTCTTTTTTGCTGATTCGCTGTCAATATTTGATTAACAATCCCCACTCGGAAACCACTTATAACGCTTATTTCCTTGAGCGGCAGAAGTGCCAAATCATGACTTTCAGATACAACTGGAGATAGGATTGTGCACGATGACAAAATGGGGTTCAGTTCGGTATGTGGAAATGTCTTAGAGCTGCTCGAACGTGTGACAACTGGGGCAATCCCAAGATGCCAAAGCCCGATACAAACGGGACTAGGAGAAGCGCAAAACTATATATATGTACATAAGCACATATGCATGTATATGCAAAAAAAAAACATGAATTCGATTTGGTTGCGGACAGATTAATAGCAAATGCCGTGGCAGTAGGCAGGCACTTGGATGTGTGGGTGGAAGCTGTCAACAAATCCGCAACAACAAACCGCAATCGCAATCACATTTATTTATTTATTTTTATGTTAACAGTTGGCAGCTTCCTCATTTGTGCCCAACGCAGCACAAAAGCTGACAGGCGACATATTAAGCATCTCTGGGCGATAGGACGGGGCAGGACGGGACAGGACGAGGCGGAACTAGAAAGGGTCGAGGTCATCTTAATGATTAATACGACTGTGGATACGCATGTGCGAGTCCATACATATATGCGTATATGGGCCAAAACTAGCTGTACCCTATTCAATTGGGTATATTCGCACCTGCCGCAGAAAACAATGTGTGTGAGTGCGGATGCAACAGAATCATATTCCCTTATACATACACCATGACCCTGGCTACGCAAAGTCCATACACGAGTCATAAGTGCGTACAGATGTATGTATTGCTCTAAGCATATATGTAATTATGCATGTACCTATGTGCAGTGCTTGACACTACTTTTACAGCGCACATACCTACATATACACACGCACATGCGAGTGTGTCGCTACGTGAAGGACTTTTAAAATCGACCACTAACTACGCCTTTGGCGCTGTGCGCGCAAGCGAGCTGGCAATATTAACAGCACCGCTGAGCAACGCGTACAGCTCGCTCACACAGAGAGCACTGTTAACGTGTCGTGAGTGGTGGTGGCGGGGGCAGTGAGCGAATCATCGGCTATGTTCGTGTTGCCAGCGTAGTATACTCGCAAGCGTAAAAATGTGTAAAACTCGACTCTCTGATGAATGAGATTAACCGTTACACACAGACGCACACGTACAGACACAGACACATGCACACACATGCAAGTGCCGCACTGAAACCAAGCAACCCCCTGGCACAGGCGCACACGATAAACGGCTACAACTACAACGACAACCCTCAACAACGACAAAGCACTTGCTGCTGCTCCTGCTGCTGCTGCCGCTGCCGCTGTCGTTGCCGTTGTCGTTGCCTCTGCTGCTGCTGCAGGGCATTGTGTGTGTGGCAGGAGGGTTTGTGTGGTGCTTTTACTCGCTACTTTCTCGATTAACTTTTACTACACTGCCAGCAATTTTTTTATGTTAGTTCGCTGTGCTAATGTTGTTGTTGTTATTGTTACTGCCGCTTGCCGTATTTTTGGATCTGGCTAACTTATAATAAAAGTAGCTGCAGGCAAGCATTTTACCTGTGCGGATGGCGCCTAAGTTCACGCCCGTTGACTAATGTAGACTTTTTTTGATACTCACACTAAATATAACGGCAAATGCGTTGGTTCGTCTCACACTGGGCTTTCGCTGTTGTTTTCTTGAACTTAGAAAAGTTGTATTTGGTTTTTGTCCGTTGCCCTTGTATTTATTAATGCACATTCCTATTTAGAGTTTCACATTTGACAGGACACACACTAAGTAACTCCACTTCGTGGCGCTTTTAATGCTTTGCACTCTTCCGTCTAAGCTTCTCAACGCTGACACTGCGACTGTGACTGCGACTGCGATTACTCGTCACTAGCCCCAATAACCGCTCAGTTAACATTATACAGTGATGATTAAGTTGGCAGTCCACTGTTAAGTTTATCGATTGAATGTTGTAGTGTTGTGCGAGCGAGATGACGCTACAGCTTTAGAACCGATGCCTGAAAATGGCAGCACGTCAATGTTAACTTTGTCGTTAACCTATGTGAAACGGTACATTTTTAACATTTGCTCCTCATTTCACTCATTTGCACTTCGATAACAATCACTGCCAAATTCTCGTTCACAAATTGAGAACTTTAAATTCTCTCCTAGTGCGAAAGCGAATACAAAAACCAACTGCGACCTTTGCTTGCATTCTGACAATAGCCGGCATTGACGCCGCCAAGAGGCCAACCAACCACCATCAAGAACGTCAGATGGACGCACCCCATAAGCCGCTCCGGCTCTCTCTCTCTCTCTCTGCCTCCCTCTCTCTCTATCTTGCTCTCTCTCTCTTTCTTTCTGGTTTCTCTATTATGTGCCCACTGTCTCTAGCATTTGTAATACTGTTTTACTGTACTCAAGCTTTTGGCGCCTAATTCGCAAATAAACTCTTATAGCGCTGCCTAACCTAACAATGTCAATTGGGGTCAGTCATGAAGGCATCATAATATTCTCCACTAACTATATGATATATACATACATATATGAAGAATACGACAACAACGGTTGGCGCTTTTTTGTCTTTTAAAATGTCCTTGTAATGTTGCGGCAGCCAGTCACTCTGACAAGGGTTTGTTCCGGGGTGGCTCTTGATGAGGTGTCGGCACTTCTTATCACTTGGCATATGTAACTCGAATCGTTGTGCGTTTAAAATGTCTGGCCAGAGTTTTGTCACGTGAATTGCCCTGAAACAAAATCGATTTCATGCTGGCCTCCTCCCTCCGCTCCTTAGTTGGCAGTTGTTGTTCCATGTCCTGTAATTTGTCGCCACACTTCAAGGACTCGTCCCCAGCAACATACGCCGTGTTGTCTGCCAGGGAGTCTGCAAGTTTCTTGGTAGAAAATTGAATTAATCAAGATGTTGCTGATTCGATTAGTGTTTACCACAACGAACAGACTGAAAAATAAATTTCTATACGTTGCGAGCATAAATCCCATCATGTTAGAATATGATTTATTACCGTGAAATACAATACTAAAGTTGGAATACGCTTTCGATTATCGTATATATAACACCCTAACCAAATCTATAAAATATATAGGCTTACATAACTAGACGCCAGCTAATTCATATCCAAATTGTAAAACCCTACACCTTTTATATACATTTACTGTTGTTAGACACATTAAAGCCTCGTTCACTTAATTATCGTAGTTGTCCAAGTACTTCTGGGCACAGACCCCTCGATTGAGGTCGAAGCTTTTTCCAGGGTCACAGAAGTGGGTAACTGGAGTTCCGTTTCTGCAGACGTAATACTTATTATGGAGCATCGAGTCTCGCATAGTGGTTCCTTCGCTTCTATTGATACAATTGACCGATGTGTCTGTAATATCAGAAGCGCTTGAGCTGGGTGGGTTATCGATGGAACAGTGCACGCGACTGGGATAATTGCAATATCCTATCTCTGTATCAATATAGAGACCCTTAGGACACTCTCTGGCAATGGCACTTCCATTGGAGCAGACATAAAATTTGCTACATGACCTCGGATGCCTAAGATAAACGCCATTTGAGTATAAGCTACAATCTGGAATTGGCGTATCATCCGGCTCGGATAGGGAATTATTGCTCGGACTTGAAGGCTTATTTGGAGCTAGGCTATATTCTTTGTCGCTGTTTGTGCAGTCCACCAGGCTGGGGAAATTGCAGATTTTCTTTTTGATGTCGAAATAAAGAACATTCGGACAGCTGTGTGGTACAGCTCGTCCGTTGGAACACACATAGAACTTAGAGCAAAGATTTTGATCTCTTATAAAAGCACCATTGGGTAACAAGCTGCATTCCAAGTCCTCCTTGTCTTCCAAAGGCACAATAGTTTTATCTTCTCTGGCCACAATCTCTAAGTTCTTTAACGCTAATGGGTCCTTTGATAGATCAGTTTTCGTTGAAGACATAAGGTGTTTGATATACCTCAAAGCCTCTTCTGCAGATGGTTTGCCTGGCTCTTTCCACCGATTCGTTTTCGTTGAATGTAATACTTTTTCGTTGGCCGTTTTTGTTGGTACCGTATTTAAAGGTGGCTTGGTTTTGTGTTCCTCTGTGATTAACGTATTCTTTGAGAGATTTGCATTCGACTTTGGCTTAGGACTTGCAACTACGGATGATTTGTTTTGCTCCTGCTTTGCTCCAGATGTATTCTTTGAAGGAACAGCAGTCGTTGAAGATGGTGCTTCTAGTTTAGTTAGCTCCTGCTTTGCTTTTGGTGGGTCCTTTGAGGGACCTGTTTTCGTCGAAGGTAATGGCGCTTCCAGCTTAGGTACTTCCTGCTTTGCTTTTGCTGTGTCCTTTGAAGCGTCCATTTTCGCCGAAGGTAATGGCGCTTCCAGTTTAGGTATCTCCTGCTTAGCCTTTGGTGTATCCTTTGAGGGATCCGTTTTCGTCGACGGTAATGGCGCTTCCAGCTTAGGTACTTCCTGCTTTGCTTTTGCTGTGTCCTTTGAAGCGTCCATTTTCGCCGAAGGTAATGGCGCTTCCAGTTTAGGTATCTCCTGCTTAGCCTTTGGTGTATCCTTTGAGGGATCCGTTTTCGTCGACGGTAATGGCGCTTCCAGTTTAGGTATCTCCTGCTTTGCCTTTGGTGTACCCTTTAAGGGATCTGTTTTCGTCGACGGTAATGGCGCTTCCAGTTTAGGTATCTCCTGCTTTGCCTTTGGTGTACCCTTTGAGGGATTTGTTTTCGTCGACGGTAATGGCGCTTCCAGTTTAGGTATTTCCTGTTTTGCTTTTTGTGTGTCCTTTGAGGGATCCGTTTTCGTCGACGGTAATGGCGCTTCCAGCTTAGGTACTTCCTGCTTTGCTTTTGCTGTGTCCTTTGAAGTATCCATTTTCGCCGAAGGTAATGGCGCTTCCAGTTTAGGTACCTCCTGTTTAGCCTTTGGTGTATCCTTTGAGGGATCCGTTTTCGTCGACGGTAATGGCGCTTCCAGTTTAGGTATCTCCTGCTTTGCCTTTGGTGTACCCTTTGAGGGATTTGTTTTCGTCGACGGTAATGGCGCTTCCAGTTTGGGTACCTCCTGTTTAGCCTTTGGTGTATCCTTTGAGGGATCCGTTTTCGTTGACGGTAATGGCGCTTCCAGTTTGGGTACCTCCTGTTTAGCCTTTGGTGAATCCTTTGAGGGATCCGTTTTCGTTGACGGTAATGGCGCTTCCAGTTTAGGTATCTCCTGCTTTGCCTTTGGTGTACCCTTTAAGGGATCTGTTTTCGTCGACGGTAATGGCGCTTCCAGTTTAGGTATCTCCTGCTTTGCCTTTGGTGTACCCTTTAAGGGATCTGTTTTCGTTGACGGTAATGGCGCTTCCAGTTTAGGTATCTCCTGCTTTGCCTTTGGTGTACCCTTTGAGGGATTTGTTTTCGTCGACGGTAATGGCGCTTCCAGTTTAGGTACTTCCTGCTTAGCCTTTGGTGTATCCTTTGAGGGATCCATTTTCGTCGAAGGCAGTGGCGCTTCCAGTTTAGGTACTTCCTGTTTAGCCACTGGTGGGTCCTTTAAGGTATTAGGGTTGAGTTTTTCAGATTCAGACAGTTTACTTAACTCCTGCTGAGCTTTTGGTGTATCCTTTGAGATATCCGTTTTCTTCGACGATAATGGCGCTTCCAGTTTGGGTACTTTTTGCTTTGCTTTTGGTGTGTTCTTTGAGGGATCCGTTTTCATCGAAGGTAATGGCGCTTCCAGTTTAGGTACTTCCTGCTTAGCCTTTGGTGTATCCTTTGAGGGATCCATTTTCGTCGAAGGCAGTGGCGCTTCCAGTTTAGGTACTTCCTGTTTAGCCACTGGTGGGTCCTTTAAGGTATTAGGGCTGAGTTTTTCAGATTCAGACAGTTTACTTAACTCCTGCTGAGCTTTTGGTGTATCCTTTGAGATATCCGTTTTCTTCGACGATAATGGCGCTTCCAGTTTGGGTACTTCCTGCTTTGCTTTTGGTGTGTTCTTTGAGGGATCCGTTTTCATCGAAGGTAATGACGCTTCCAGTTTAGGTACCTCCTGTTTAGCCTTTGGTGTATCCTTTGAAGTATCCATTTTCGACGAAGGTAATGGCGCTTCCACTTTAGTTAGCTCCTGCTTTGCTTTTGGTGTGTCCTTTGAGGGATCCGTCTTCGGCGAAGGTAATGTCGCTTCCAGCTTAGGTACTTCCTGTTTAGCCTTTGGTGTATCCTTTGAGGTATCCGTTTTCTTCGAAGGTAATGGCGCTTCCTTCGAGTTGAGTTTCTCAGATACAGACAGCTTACTTAGCTCCTGCTTTGCTTTTGGTGTGTCCTTTGAGGGATCCGTGTTCGTCGACGGTAATGTCGCTTCCAGCTTAGGTACTTCCTGTTTAGCCTTTGGTGTATCCTTTGAGGTATCCGTTTTCTTCGAAGGTAATGGCGCTTCCTTCGAGTTGAGTTTCTCAGATACAGACAGCTTACTTAGCTCCTGCTTTGCTTTTGGTGTGTTCTTTGAGGGATCCGTTTTCATCGAAGGTAATGACGCTTCCAGTTTAGGTACCTCCTGTTTAGCCTTTGGTGTATCCTTTGAAGTATCCATTTTCGACGAAGGTAATGGCGCTTCCACTTTAGTTAGCTCCTGCTTTGCTTTTGGTGTGTCCTTTGAGGGATCCGTCTTCGGCGAAGGTAATGTCGCTTCCAGCTTAGGTACTTCCTGTTTAGCCTTTGGTGTATCCTTTGAGGTATCCGTTTTCTTCGAAGGTAATGGCGCTTCCTTCGAGTTGAGTTTCTCAGATACAGACAGCTTACTTAGCTCCTGCTTTGCTTTTGGTGTGTCCTTTGAGGGATCCGTGTTCGACGACGGTAATGACGCTTCCAGTTTAGGTATCTCCTGCTTTGCCTTTGGTGTACCCTTTGAGGGATTTGTTTTCGTCGACGGTAATGGCGCTTCCAGTTTGGGTACCTCCTGTTTAGCCTTTGGTGTATCCTTTGAGGGATCCGTTTTCGTTGACGGTAATGGCGCTTCCAGTTTGGGTACCTCCTGTTTAGCCTTTGGTGAATCCTTTGAGGGATCCGTTTTCGTTGACGGTAATGGCGCTTCCAGATTAGGTATCTCCTGCTTTGCCTTTGGTGTACCCTTTAAGGGATCTGTTTTCGTCGACGGTAATGGCGCTTCCAGTTTAGGTATCTCCTGCTTTGCCTTTGGTGTACCCTTTAAGGGATCTGTTTTCGTTGACGGTAATGGCGCTTCCAGTTTAGGTATCTCCTGCTTTGCCTTTGGTGTACCCTTTGAGGGATTTGTTTTCGTCGACGGTAATGGCGCTTCCAGTTTAGGTACTTCCTGCTTAGCCTTTGGTGTATCCTTTGAGGGATCCATTTTCGTCGAAGGCAGTGGCGCTTCCAGTTTAGGTACTTCCTGTTTAGCCACTGGTGGGTCCTTTAAGGTATTAGGGTTGAGTTTTTCAGATTCAGACAGTTTACTTAACTCCTGCTGAGCTTTTGGTGTATCCTTTGAGATATCCGTTTTCTTCGACGATAATGGCGCTTCCAGTTTGGGTACTTTTTGCTTTGCTTTTGGTGTGTTCTTTGAGGGATCCGTTTTCATCGAAGGTAATGGCGCTTCCAGTTTAGGTACTTCCTGCTTAGCCTTTGGTGTATCCTTTGAGGGATCCATTTTCGTCGAAGGCAGTGGCGCTTCCAGTTTAGGTACTTCCTGTTTAGCCACTGGTGGGTCCTTTAAGGTATTAGGGCTGAGTTTTTCAGATTCAGACAGTTTACTTAACTCCTGCTGAGCTTTTGGTGTATCCTTTGAGATATCCGTTTTCTTCGACGATAATGGCGCTTCCAGTTTGGGTACTTCCTGCTTTGCTTTTGGTGTGTTCTTTGAGGGATCCGTTTTCATCGAAGGTAATGACGCTTCCAGTTTAGGTACCTCCTGTTTAGCCTTTGGTGTATCCTTTGAAGTATCCATTTTCGACGAAGGTAATGGCGCTTCCACTTTAGTTAGCTCCTGCTTTGCTTTTGGTGTGTCCTTTGAGGGATCCGTCTTCGGCGAAGGTAATGTCGCTTCCAGCTTAGGTACTTCCTGTTTAGCCTTTGGTGTATCCTTTGAGGTATCCGTTTTCTTCGAAGGTAATGGCGCTTCCTTCGAGTTGAGTTTCTCAGATACAGACAGCTTACTTAGCTCCTGCTTTGCTTTTGGTGTGTCCTTTGAGGGATCCGTGTTCGACGACGGTAATGACGCTTCCAGTTTAGGTATCTCCTGCTTAGCCTTTGGTGTATCCTTTGAGGGATCTATTTTCGTCGACGGTAATGGCGCTTCCAGTTTAGGTACGTCCTGCTTTGCATTTGGTGTGTCCTTTGAGGGATCCGTTTTCGACGAAGGTAATGGCGCTTCCTTCGAGTTCAGTTTCTCAGAATGAACAGGAGTGGATGAAGATGTGTTTTTAAACTTCAGTGTCTCAGCTATAGATAGGTTGCTTTTATCTTTTGACTTATTCGTTATCTTGGAGAGGAATACATCTGTAGTGGACTTCAAAGTCTGATCTACAGCTGGCTTAATTTGCACTTGCTTTGGCTTTGCTGTGTCCGATTCCTTCGACTTCTGTGTTACTGATGGAATGTCCTTCTTTGAGAGATCCGATTTCATTAAGGTTAATACCACTTCCTCAGTTTTCGAGCTCTCAACTACGGAGGGTTTGCTTTGCTTTTGGCTTAAATTGGGTGTGCCTTTTGGAAGATCAGATTTAGTTGAAGATAATTTATTTTCGTTTGAGCTTAGAATCTGAGCAATATGTAGTTTATATTGATCTGACTTTAGTTTCGATATGTCTGTTTTATCAGATACAGATGGTATAGCTTGCACTTGCTCTACTTCTGGCGTGTTCCTTGAGGGAAGGGGTTTCGTTGAGGATAATACCGCTCCCTTAGCTAGTTCGCCTTGACCCTTTGACAGATTTGTTTTCTGCAAGGATAATCCGGATCCCGTAGACGTGAGACTTTCAGATACAGATAGCTTGCTTTGCTCTCGTCTTACTTCTAACGTTTTCTTCGAGGGATTAGATTTCGCTGGGGACATTCCCGTTTCACTAGATTTCGGAGTATCTGATACAGATGACTTGATTTGCTCTAGCTGTGCGGCTCCGGAGACTTGAGTTCCTCTAGAGCTGGTGTTGCTCTGTACGGTGGAAGCAGTTATGGACTTGGAATTGTGAATCACTTTGTTAGAAGAGCTGCTGTCAGATATAGCACCACCAACTTTATCGAGGCTCTCCTTGTGTGTTTTATGTGACTTCGCTCTTCTAACCATATTTGTTAGAAGTGGTTTGAGCTTATGTAAAGGTAAACCGTGTTTAAATGTTGAACTTGCTAACTGGCTATCAGGCAAGGGGAATGGATTTCCATCACCTCTACTTTGGTCATCGTTAATTTTGCAGTCAACAGCATCAGGGAAATTGCAAACTCTCTTCTTTATATCAAAATACAGGTCGACTGGGCAAGATCGTAAAATAGCGCGTCCACTGGCACATACGTAGAACTTACTACACGACTGGGGATGTCTAAGATGTACTCCATTTGGCTGGGAGCTGCAAATATATTCTTCTATGTTAAGTGTGTTTGATAGATCAAGGTCGAAGATATCATCCGCTGGGAATTTTAGTGATTGCGACTCAGTTGTTTCTGACTCTTCTTCTGACTCATCGTCTAGCTCTTCAGTGGTGCGCTTTGATAATTGATCGTCATATATGGAGTTACCTTCATCTAATAATATATCTTTAATTAGTGTCCGCTTTACGCTACTGCCAACAGCATTGTCAGAACTGTATGTCAATAATTTCGGAATGGATATTGATTGCTGTTTCTGGGAGCAATCTACGAGATTGGGTAAATTGCACACATTGTTTATGATATCAAAGTACAGATTTCTGGGACACTTTCGAAGAATGGCTCGTCCATTAGCACAGACATAAAAATTGGCACAGGAATCTGGATCTCTTAGATACACGCCATTCGGAAGAAGGGCACAATACATGTTTTTGTCAGCTTCTGCAGTGGAATCGGTTTCTTCGACTACTGTTGGTATCCATAATATGTTGCCCAATTTCTTAGCACTCTTTTCTACATCAGCTCTAAAGGGCTGCGAGACGACTATGCTTTCAGTAGTCGATGAATCTGTTTCATCACCTTCATCACCTTCATCTGTGGGACTTTCAGAGGTAAATAATGGATCTTCGGAGTCCAAGTCATCGGACCCAGTTTCTCCTGAAGTAGTTTGTAATACTTCTGTGGAACTCTCTGACGAATCACTTTCTTCTGAAGTAGGTGATTCCTCGGAACTAGTACTTAAGCTCTCAGTAGAACTCTCTGGTAGATCACTTTCATCTGAAGTAGCTGATTCCTCTGGCGAATCTGGCGAATCTGGCGAATCAGTTTCTTCTGAAGTAGGTGATTCCTCTGAACTAGTACTTAAGCTCTCAGTAGAACTCTCTGGTAGATCACTTTCATCTGAAGTAGCTGATTCCTCTGGCGAATCTGGCGAATCTGGCGAATCAGTTTCTTCTGAAGTAGGTGATTCCTCGGAACTAGTACTTAAGCTCTCAGTAGAACTCTCTGGTAGATCACTTTCATCTGAAGTAGCTGATTCCTCTGGCGAATCTGGCGAATCAGTTTCTTCCGAAGTAGATAGTTCCTCGGAACTAGTAGTAAAACTCTCTGGCGAATCAGTTTCTTCTGAAGTAGATGATTCCTCGGAACTAGTATTTAAACTCTCAGTAAAACTCTCTGGCGAATCAGTTTCTTCGGAAGTAGATGAGTCCTCGGTACTAGTACTTAAGCTCTCAGTGGTACTGTCTGATGGATCAGTTTCATCTGAAGTCGATGACTCCTCGGATGTTGAAGATGATTCCACGGAACTTGAACTTGAACTTTCAGTAGATATGGAGTCAGAACTAGAACTTGAGCTTTCTGTAGAGAAATCCTCAGTGCTGGAACTGGAACTCTCAGTTGACTCTTCTGAAGTGGAACTTGAGCTGTCAGTAGATGAGTCCTCGGAGCTGGAACTGGAACTCTCAGTCGACTCTTCTGAAGTGGAACTTGAACTTTCAGTAGATGAGTCCTCGGAGCTGGAACTGGAACTCTCAGTCGACTCCTCTGAAGTGGAACTTGAGCTGTCAGTAGATGAGTCCTCTGAGCTGGAACTGGAATTCTCAGTCGACTCTTCTGAAGTGGAACTTGAGCTGTCCGTAGATGAGTCCTCGGAGCTGGAACTAGAGCTCTCAGTCGTCTCCTCAGATGTAGAACTTGAACTGTCGGTAGATGAGTCCTCGGAAGTAGAGCTTGAACTGTCAGTTGACGAGTTCTCAGCAGTGGAGCTGGAACTCTCAGTCGACTCATCTGAAGTGGAACTTGAGCTGTCAGTAGATGAGGATTCGGAACTGGAGCTTGAACTATCGGTAGATGAAGCCTCGGAACTAGAACTTGAGCTTTCAGTAGATGAGGATTCGGAAATGGAACTTGAGCTCTCCGTGGATGAGGCTTCGGAGCTGGAGCTTGAGCTCTCAGTAGATGAGGCTTCGGAACTGGAGCTGGAACTGTCAGTAGATGAACTAGAACTAGAACTTGAGCTCTCAGTAGATAAGGAACTGGAACTTGAGCTCTCCGTGGATGAGGCTTCGGAGCTGGAGCTTGAGTTCTCAGTAGATGAGGCTTCGGAACTAGAACTTGAGCTCTCAGTAGAAGAGCCTTCGGAACTAGAACTTGAGCTCTCCGTAGATAAGGAACTGGAACTTGAACTCTCCGTGGATGAGGCATCGGAACTGGAACTTGAGCTCTCCGTGGATGAGGCTTCAGAACTGGAGCTTGAGCTCTCAGTAGATGAGGCTTCGGAACTAGAACTTGAGCTCTCCGTAGATAAGGAACTGGAACTTGAACTCTCCGTGGATGAGGCATCGGAACTGGAGCTCGAGCTCTCAGTAGATGAGGCTTCGGAACTGGAGCTGGAACTGTCAGTAGATGAACTAGAACTAGAACTTGAGCTCTCAGTAGATAAGGAACTGGAACTTGAGCTCTCCGTGGATGAGGCTTCGGAGCTGGAGCTTGAGCTCTCAGTAGATGAGGCTTCGGAACTAGAACTTGAGCTCTCAGTAGAGGTGGCTTCGGAACTGGAACTTGAGCTCTCCGTAGACATGGAACTGGAACTTGAACTCTCCGTGGATGAGGCTTCGGAGCTGGAGCTTGAGCTCTCCGTGGATGAGGCTTCGGAACTGGAGCTTGAGCTCTCAGTGGAGGAGGCTTCGGAACTGGAACTTGAGCTCTCAGTAGAGGAGGCTTCGGAGCTGGAGCTTGAACTGTCAGTAGATGAAGATTCGGAACTGGAGCTGGAACTGTCAGTAGATGAACTAGAACTAGAACTTGAGCTCTCAGTAGATAAGGAACTGGAACTTGAGCTCTCCGTAGATGAGGCATCGGAACTGGAGCTTGAGCTCTCAGTGGATGAGGCTTCGGAACTGGAACTTGAGCTCTCAGTAGAGGAGGCTACGGAACTAGAGCTAGAACTAGCAGTTGATGAAGCTTCGGAACTAGAACTTGAGCTCTCAGTAGATGCGGCTTCCGAGCTAGAACTTGAGCTTTCAGTAGAGGAGGCCTTGGAACTAGAACTTGAGCTTTCGGTAGGTGTGGCTTCGGAGCTAGAACTTGAGCTTTGAGTAGAACTCTCTGAAGTAACTGGCGAACTAGAGCTTAGCCCTTGAGCAGTCGTGTTTTGAGGAAGTGGGTTAGAAGTGGTTGTAAGTGGCGGTGGCGTAGGCGTTGGTGGACGATAAGGTGGTTTCGGCGGCTTATTCCACAGGGCCCCAAAGATGTTAAAAATAATCGGCCTGTCCATGGTTATGTTTTGATTGATGTTGAACTCATTTCTAACCCCGCTGTTAGCATTTTTGGGTTGAACGCTTGCCAGCTGGAGTTGTGCACAGTTTTGTGTTTGCACATTGAATCGAAAGCCCTCCGCGCAGTTGCTTTTAATCTTTCCCAACAAGCCGAAGCATAAGTAGTATGCATGAGGATCGGCTGGATCAACGGCTTTATATCCAAATTTTTGTCCTGCACATGCATCCAAGGCGAATGCCTGAGGAAACGTCAGTAGACCTATCCATAGGAAGTTCACTAAAACGAAGAGTCTTAGAAACACTTTCTTTCAAAGTTTAATATGCGACTTACCCAATTGCATTTTTAATATTCATCCAGTAAAATGCGACGTGCAATGGCTGTCCCTTTCCTTTTATAGCCAACAGGCAGATGCGCAACAATTAGCTGAAAGGCTTTCCATATTTCGGTAACTGTATCTGACTTTTACAAATTGTTAACAACTATCTGCTGACAACGTAACTATTTTAAATAAATTGAATAAGTGTCGACTAATGTATTCTAATGCTTGTTGCACATCTTCAGAATTCTGACTGGAATACCTGTCCAACACATGTTTCCATGCAATTGATAATGCACATGACATGCTGTCAGCAAGCTTCTCTCCTCACTTTCTTCCTGTTCTGTTCTAATAGAGAACTTGTATGAACTATATTCAGTTTTCTGCGTACTCTAAATACATAATTTGTAAGTATTTAGATCATTCTGTCTCTATCTCGTCTATATATTTCTATATGTGTTCATCTCTTTATCCGCGCTTTTTTATTTCCATTGCAAACATAAAAAGATACTTTATCCTGTAGTTGGATATATATATATATATATAAATATATTAATATATAAATATAGGTTTGTCAATCTGAATGTAATATAATTAATATAATATATAATTATAATAATATAATATAAGACATTATCTGAGTCTCAGCTTCTTTCCCTGTCAATTCGGTTTTTTCTATGGTCGTCTCTTTCGCTGGATATATTTTTCTTTTTCAATTTCTCATTCTCATCTAGTCTCCATGACTCTGACTATCAGTTTTTCTCGCTCCATCTATCACACTTTGATCTCTCTCTTATTCCCTATATCTCTATATATATGTTTATCTCTCTTACTCTTACCACTTTTCAAAACCCAATCTTTTCCTCCTTTAATCTTTTCTCTTTTACAAACTCTCCCCTTACAAAGCGCAGCCTTCACCTTAAACATTTTTAACTTTATTTTAATTTCCTAACTTTATTTTAATTTTTTAAGATATTGTTTTAAGTAGTTCTGTTTGAATAGGATACCAAAATTACTCTAACTCGTTTGCTTTTATAACATAAGGTTTATATTAGTGTCTTACAGTCCTATTCCCTGTAAGCTGCCTCCATTAGATTTTTAGATATTTCCAAGTCAGCATTTTCTTGGCATCTTTATATGTCCATATTTAAATAATCTTCCCATGTACTACATTCTGTCTATCTGCAGTCCAATCTCACGTTTGGGTAATCTTGTCAAGTGCTGCTTATCACTAATCATATTACCTAATATGATAGTGTAATTGTGCTTCCCCGCCATCCGACGCACCTTGTCCGTGAAGAGTGGTTGCCCGGTTCCGATTAGTAGGTGTAGATAAGGTGTGTGTGTGTTATCGTGTTGTCGCCCATGGCACTTGTTGGTGTTGTGACTATTTATAGTGTTTGGTTGCTGGAAAGCTTTTGAAAGCACAGAGCTTCACTATATGAAGGTGTTTTAGTTCGAACTCTTATCGTAACTTGTGTGGCTTCGAATGTACCTAGTTGAGCAAAGCGCTCTTGGTATTCGAGCCAATAAGTTCGGCCACCAACTCCCATTTTATCTTTTGCATTTTTTATTATTTTTGATTTTTCTATTTTTCTTTTTTTTTTTTTTAATTTTTGCACCAAATTTTTGGCAACAGGTCAGCTACACTTGCTAAACTATGTCCCCTTGTCTCCACCAAGCACTACCTGATAGCAATTTTTTTTGTTCGTTGTGGACAACTCATTATCAAAAATCAAATTTTAGTTAATACGATCGTTTTGTTATAATGTCTTACAAGCACACAACTAGCTTAAGATAAGACATCGCAATCATGTTTTTGTAAATTATACTTAGTGTGATTGATGAGCAGGAATATTGAGTAGTTAACTGAAAAAGTTACTAATATTAACACTAATATAAGGCACATTATTTTTGCTGCACTAAACAGAATGAAGAATGATGCAAATTTTTTATATATTTAAATTTATATATTATAAATTTATAAATTAATTATATATATAAATTATATTTTTATATCAATTTAACAATTTAGTGTTCATGAAAATAATAAAGCATCGAGGTTTCTATGGGTTATATTTAAATAAAAAATTTTAATATTTTTATATATATTTTCTATATATTTAAAATAAAATAAAATAAAAATAATAAATAATAAAAAATGTAATAAAAACACTGATGCAATGAACGCCCATTTTCAATGGCTTCGGAGTAAGAAACCCTTTAGAATTTGAGTTTGACTTTGACTACAGCTAAATTTGGAATGCTGATTAATCTCTTGATTATTTTTTTGAGCTTGCTTCGCGTTTTCGAAGCACAATGTAAAATGCTTCAACAATGTTTGGAAATTTCAAAATAAACGCATATATCGACAAGCGTAGTTCATTCTTCTAGGGACTTTTTCCCCTGTGTAAAACAAATATAGATAAATGCGAAAATTTGCATATGATAAGAAATGATGCAATGGATTAGAGTGGTCTCGAAACTACACTACGCTGTACTGTGCGCTTTGGTCAATGTTCATCCGTTAGCTAACGAGACCATTCCAAACACGATAACGATCGTTGAATTTCGCACATATCAAGCTGATATCAAGCTGAGTTCATCACAGATCCTCTCCCACCTCTCCCTTCCAAACACCATCCTTCACCTGCCATATAAGGTGGGAGGGGACGCAATACCGTTGCACTTTTTCGCTCACTAATAAGTGCTTATCTATTTCAAAGCGTGATAAGCGCATGCCTCTGACTGTAGACATTAGCTTGAGGCTCGTCCAAGGCAGATTTAATTCGAATCATGAACATTTAGCAATACACACGAATCGCATGTGTCCTTTATTACATTCAAATTAATTTTTAATTAGAGTTCAGTTCAGAACTTTCTCACTCTGCAGTGAGTTCTGCTCACGCTCCAGGCGATTACCGTAGGTGCGCGAGACGAGGTTCCAAGTGTCCAGAAAACGGTCCATACACTGCGTAATGCACCGCTGTTCAGAGCCATCTAAAGCCTTGCCGGGTCTTGAGATACACTTTCTGAAACATTTTTCTGTCATCTTGGAAAGCATCTCCTGGGCATTCGCCAAAGCGATTTGCTGCCTCACCTGATTAATTACCGTACCTTTATCATAATTTTCATTAGCCATTATACAACTTGCTTATAACTTTACACTTGGTAATTTTTTCGTTAAATAATATATCAGAATCATTCACATTCGATAAACTAATGACAGCTCACAGTTTTCTGACTTCGAAAAAGTCTACTGACTATTTCATAAAGGATAGCAAAAATAGCAAAAGTGTATATTTTTGGATTGCTTATTTATTTAAGGAATTTAAGTGAGCCGTACAATATTATTGGGAAGTAAAGTTTTGGCTGCGCTTCCGCTCACTGGTCATTATAAACAAAAACTTCTTTCACAGTTTTTACTATATAGTATATACTATATAGTAGTATAGTATATACTATATAGTAGTATAGTATATACTATATAGTAGTATAGTATATACTATATAGTAGTATAGTATATACTATATAGTATATAGTATAGTGCTACAGATCAACAGATATACAGATATCAGCTTGGTAGACGAGCTGACAATACAAAAATTTAGTTCTTAATCAAAATTACCTTTTCTCAGCTTTAGAGATCTGCTTGAAGTCACATTTAATATTGGTTAACATGTCTTGAAACTCAAGAAAGTTTTTATCTATCAATTATATAAATAAAAACCTTAAATTGGAATGTTCGGAAGTACAATCCAAAAATTGAAAGAATTGAGATTAGAACTAGATGAACTGACATTCTTAATTTCAAATCCACGCGACTTTATATACTCACCAAAAATACATTATACTGTATAAGTTCGGTGACATCTGTTAGCATACTAAATCATAATACCCCAGCCCCATAAAAATCAAATAACTCTGCTCGTTTGTAAGACACTTGATAAATTAAATTTATTGTTGTTAGCATAAATATAATTAGTTTTCTGTATTTATTTGCTTTTGTTACAGATTTCCGTGAAATGTTTGATAAACTTAGCCTATTCTTTAACTTTGATAGCATATGATTGATGTTAATTGTAATTAGCATATTATTTAGTTAAAAGATCTTGGCTCCTCTTGATTAGAAAAATATATTATAAAAATGGTTTCTAGTTATTTTTCATACTATCTTTTAGTAGCTTTTTTCTGTGTTTTTCTGGTTCCGACAAAATGTCATATTATGTATAAAAATAAAAACTTTTAGTTTTATTTTTTTTAACTGCTTTTGGAGTGATCTAGTGAATACTCCATGAATCATCATATAATATAGTTATATTCTTTGGATTGCAACTATTTAAGAATCTTTAGAATATTTGCCGTAGACAAGCTGTTTTGGCAGTTGATAATATTGGGAAGTTGAGCTGAGTCAGATGAAACTGAAAACTCAGATCCCAATGACAAACTGGCAGTAATAGATCAATCACGATATTAAAATGTGACCTGAATAGCATGATCTATACCCATTTCTGACTGTTCTGCCTTTGCCTGGAGTTAGGTTAAAGTAGTGTTTTAATATATAATATATATATTTATATACGCAAACCGATTTCAAGATTTATGATTTACCCAGCCCAACCACCAGGTCTTTAATACTGTAAATAAACTCTTGCTGCTTCGCACTTGATTAACTAAGGATATGTCCATCCCGCCCGGACAATAATATTGTATTTTGACAAGAATTTCGATTTGTAGTCCCCTACAACTAGAAAGAGAATGGTGCACTCTACAGTATTCAAAAGAACTGAACCAAATAAATAATTATGCTTTATATAAGTATTTACTACTGATCAGCACGTATCACTTATATTTGGTTGATTTTATGTACATATACAATATTTGATCTGATCTGATAAAGTTTGCGCAATAGCTAAAAAAAAAAGAGTATATGTGTGCGATTTATAAATATATAAATATATAAATATATATATATATATATATATATATATATATATATATATATATATATATATATATAGGTATAGATATATATATAAATATATATGTTTGTCTGTATATGTGTGTACACTATATACAAGTGATAGAGTCCAGCTAGATAGATATAAGTAAATATATGTATAAGTATATATATATATACATATATATATATATATATATATATATATATATATATGGAATGTACAATCACGTTGAGTATGTAAGTATTATTGCTTTGAAAAGACAGGCACTGACATATATGTGTATAAGTGTGTGTGAGAGTAGTTGAGTGAGTGTGTGCGCGTATAAAACTAGGTCAGATTGTCGTTTAGTGACCGTCAGCAGACAATATTCAATTCCTAGGCACCGATCCCAAACGATGCCAGTCGCACAGCTCCTGACGCAAATCATGTTTGGAGAGGTCCAATTCAAAGCCGCCAAGCAACTCGTTCTCCTGCAAAGTATCATGTGACCAGATGGTCACCTGCAGCCTGCGCTGTTGCACAATGTCCAGAGGCATGCGGTACTCCAACTGCAGATAACATTAGATATAGTTAGCTCATGTTCTATTGTGAAAGATGACTATGATGACACTTACCGTCTCCATGAAGCTGGGCACACAAGTTTTGCGCACTACTTTGGTTTTGCGCTTGGTCACTTTCGTTGGATCCGGTTTCAGGTAGCATTTGACATAGGTGTTTGGCTCTTGGCCGCCCTGCAGCATGGGCAGTCCTTTGGCGTGGTGTATCTGCAACAGGACAGCAACATATATTATATCAAGGTATTTAACTATACTTGATTGGCTAACATACCATCACAGTTAACACGCCGCGTTGATATTGCAGCGAAAGGCGTATCTGGCCAATTTCATTATGATTATCCCGCGAGGGCTGACGCTTGACCTCTGCAAGGTAAAATATTTATTAGTCATGTCATAAACAGAACCTCGACATCTCTTGTTACCTTTTATCTTGGGCATCTCCAATTTGGCCTCCTGCTGATCGCGCAACAGCGGATGAAAGAATGTGTATACCAAATCGGAGTGCGCGATTTCCTCAGCTGCATCGAATAGTGATTTCAAGAAACGCTGTATCAGAGGTAAACGCTTCTCGGCAACAGATTTGATGTTCGATCGACCCACATGGACACCCGTTGGTAAGCTTTAAATAGGTAAAGAAAGAAATTAACAAAACAAGTTCGAGGATTAATTAATCTCAACGAAAGTAATCATGGTTTTTTTATCATTTTAAAATGCTATCAATTATAAAAATATGTCGAGCTTTGATTTATCATTGAAAATAACATTGCCGTGACTAAAGGTATTACTAATAGGTAACTGATACTAAGCAATTCAAGGGTGATCACATAAGGAAAAGGTTAGGGTATTTGACTACAGTCTATAAAAGAGAATTCATTTGAATATGATCAATTCCGATTATACATTGCGGAAAGGTGAGTTTGTGAGCCTAAAAGAAAAGCAAGCAAAACAGACAACGAACTCATTAAATTAGACGATTTCTTATCAATGCTAGACGAGCGAGGGGCAAGCGATTGGTAACAGGTAACAAGCTGTAATGGCTGATAAATCAGTAACTGCGTCAGATACCTTTGATTCACGGCCAAAGTGTGCCGAATCAAAGAGCAGCAGGTGAAAAAAGAGCAAACCAACGAGCCACCAAACCGCCAAGCAATCAGCGAGAGACAAGCAGTGGGAGCGCCGCGATATCTTTGCGATAACGCGGTGAGCGTTGGCTGTTAACAAACTGCGACGTCAACGCAGCTCAATCAGTTAGCGGGCAAACGGCAAGAGTTGAGAACGGAGAGCTGGTTGCCGGAGCGACGAAAGCCGAGAGCTGAGAGCCGAGCGCTGAGAGCTGCGACATTGGGGTTCGATTAACGCCAACGTGGTGAACAGAACCGAACTGAAGACGAGCCAGCAGTGCTGCAAAAAGTTCATAAAAATCAGGTGTGCAACTGCGATATGCTGGCCAAAAGTGAATAGCAGCGATGGCTCAGCATACGTATGTGGGCCAAGGTAAGTTAACTACCTTCCATGCAGCAGAATCGTTCAACAATACTTCCGCACAGGTCAGCAGGGGGCACTTGGTCCTTTGGCCAGCTCGATCATGCTCCTGATGAGTCTCGTTATGGCACTGCTCGGCATCAAAATCTGGGGCTTTAGGCGGCGTCTTACATTCGATAGCGGAGGCGGGCGATCGACAACGCGCGCAACTCAACAGCAGCCGCAAACTGCGCCACGTTATGCCGCCTACGAATCGCAGGTGCGTTACATGTAGAATTAACACAATTTTAAAAATCTGGCAATTAACTCGCTGCCTGGTTCACTGCAAGCCATTTATAAAAGTTAATAAGTAACTGATAAAACATTAAACGCCAACGAATAGTCGTGCTCTCTCCCTCACACTCTGATAAGGCCTAAAGCAAGTGTATTCGTGTTTTGTTTATATATATGAGTGAGTGTTAAGTTGTCAATAAAAATGGAGATGAGAACGTGAGAGTGTTCGGTGAATATCGATAAGAGGGACCTTTATTTAACTAATAAATCATTAGAGTGCGATCCTCTTATATCGATAAATATTCAAAACGGCCTAAATGAAAGCTTTAAAGAGAATTATGAAGAGTTTCCTTTTTGTTTTAATTATTATACTCAGCTAGGACCAAGACATTACTGGTATATTTATATTTGAAAGTCCATCTCTAATTTGCATTTGTATCGGGATTTATAGGCACTCATACATTAGCTTAGCATTTTTGTTCATGTGCATGTGTGTGTAATGCTTTCACAGTTACGTTCATGACGCATGCAAAACTTGTTATTACTGCACTCTTCTTCTTGTGTGTGCAGACATTAGGCTTGCACAGCTGAGCCCACAGCTGATTGAATTGTTACACTAACATCAAAATGAAACTCATTTTGAATTGTATTAGTTGCTCATTAATAAACCATAAGAATATTTTGATTGCACTTGCAGGTAAATGGTACCGACAACGCTGTACACGGAGTATTTCGGCAACGGAATACCGAAGAATTCGAAAGTGCCAGACCAACAAATTCAACAGGTAAGGCGTACACTTACACAAATATATTTTTATGATGGTCTGTACATGGATGTATGTGCGTGTGTAAGTGTGCAGAATTACTTAATGTGAATGGAATTGGAAGTAAATGGCTTGTATTTTATACGAACATAAGTAGACCCACAATGTTCATGACACGTTATTTGAATACCCTGTAGAAAGTTCAAGTGAATGGTTATGACTGAAGCAAGGCAAAATCTTTGACGTCATTAAAAATATTCATGCATTTTAGCTTTATATCCAATATTACTCAATTTGTTATTTATACTTTTAATGTGTATTTTACAGCTAACAAATACCTCGCAGGTAGTGTACCTAATCTGCAGATGGCCACATTAACGCCGTATGAATACAAAGAGGAGACAAGCATACCGGAACTGACTGGCACAGTTCCGCGTCGTCCAGAGCCTGAAGCAGCGCGACGCAGACGCCGTGAAGTGCATAGCGCCAGCTATGACTACTATTCAACGCCGCCTACACGTCAACCTCCGGCTCCGCCCATCGCAGTGGAAGCAGCTCAGCCTCCCTCTCAGCTGGATATACCCAATTTCGACCATTTCGCCGAGAAATATAATTTAATTAGCGTTAAGACAGGCAGCGAGGAAGATAAGGAATTACAAATAACCAGCAAGGAGCGAGGACGATATATTAAATATGAGCAGGTCGATGATGTGCCAGAGCTCTTAACGCCTGATGATGATCAAGTTGGAGCTGCTATTTCTGTGGCTGCTCAAGTGCATCACTCCCCGGCTGGAGTGCAGGCAAACTCGCTACTAGAACCGGAACCTGAACCAAAACCCGAACCGGAGCCAAAGACAGAGCTACAGCTAAAAACAGAGTCTACTCTGGAGGAGCCGAAACTAATACGAGATGGCCGTATCCTTGAGTTGGAACACACGGAGTCAGCGTTCGTGGTGGAAATAATCGCTGGCACACCCGACTCAACTGATCAAACGGAGCCAGTTATAGCCCGCAACTTGTTTTCTGATTTGGAACTGCCACACCATGGGGATGATGTTGAATTTGAGCGCATTCGCTCATCCTACGAAATGAACGAAGCTGACATCTTGGACATGCAAGCAGACTTTACTGGACTGCAAACTGAGCTTCCAGCGCCAGCTAGTCCACCTGGCTTTGGAAAGAGCATCGATGATGACTGGGAAAACTTTGAAAATTTAGAAAGTGTAGCAAATGCAGCTCAACGTAATTGGTCGGCACTTGAGCTGCCCCAAACAGAACGAGGCGAGACGACTCCCGAGTTGGAAAATGTGGTGCAGCAAGACTCACTGTTTCGAGACCTGGAGCTTATGGGGCCTACTAATGAGGAAAGATCACATCGATCAGCTGACGCTTTAGAGCCACCTCCATATCATATGAGGCCATCTGTTCCACCTATCCTGCCTGACTACGAGTCACTGATGCGGCTCGAGGTATCGCGGACAAATCGAACGTTGCCTAACTATGAGGATGTGGTAGCCCACGGCAAGGGGAGTAGTCCAAAATATGTGAGCAGTATAGAGGATATGTTCGTAGAATTGCAAGGGAATGGCGATGAGCCTCGAGCAAGCTCCACTTCACTCGCTACAGAGGTGCATGATTTCGATGCGCTTTGCGAGGAGCTGGACATTGCGCCATCACCAGTGCCAGCACGTCGGCCACCTCAGCCAGCGCCGCGAGTCACCAAGTCGGCAACGCTTAGTGTACGGGGTGATGCATCACCATTGACTTGTTACAAGCCCGAGGAATTGCCGAGCTCCAGTTCGAGCGAGGCGGAAGTGGAGGAAATTGCTGCCCCACCACCACAGGCAGCTAAGCGTGAGGCACGCGCTCTGAGGGTGCGATTCGATGTGGAAAACTTACAATACTATCAATCTGCAGAGGTGCCTAGCTCAAATGAGTCCGATGTTGAGTTTGACTCTGCCGAGGAGCAGAACGAAAGCGAACAGCTGCCACCGAGGGCAACTCAACGCTTAATCACAGTGCTACCTGAGGAGCTTTCACCAAGTGCTGATCGGGACATACCCAAACTGTTCAGCACTCAGATCTCGCAGGAGGACAGCGATGATGAATTATTCGGACGCGCTATACGTCAACATCGCTCCATGACAGAGGCATTGCGGCCAGTCGCTGGATTGGATCACACGACGCGGAGTGACCGAATTACAGAGGCTTAGATTCCCATAACAAAAATGCTGCTCTCAAATTCCTTAGCGAAGACAGTATTTTACATGTAAATAAGTCTGTGGACACACACACACATACACTTCTGAATATGAATATATATACATATATATCTAAAGTAGAAGTTGCCATATAATGTTGACTATGTTTAAATAAATTTACGATTAATAGAAACTGTCTTTCCCTCTTCACTGGGTACATTTTTCATAAGATAATCAATACATGCACCTAGAAAAAATCCACCAAAATTATGTTGACACAGAATAAAATTGTAATTTGTTAAGAAGTTTGTTAAATCTTCAATTCACTAATGAAAAATTAATTTTCTTTGCCCACATATTTCCTCTATCAACTTCTGCACCCTTCAAAAGGCTTAGTTCACGGGGTAATGAAAACCAATTAAGCCAACTTCAATGATAAATTATTGTCTTATCATTAAAGGCTTTAAGTCTTATCTTTGCTATGTCACATTTAAGATTGGACGATTCACTTACCTTTGGAGCTTGACCAGTGGAAAGTGCATGCACAACTTTTGATGAAACTCGGTAAACTCGCGATACGAGCGGAACAGATGTGTTGGATCCAGTTGACCGTGACGAGTTACTTGCAGAATGTACATATAATACTTCTCCATGCTGTAGTGCTTCTGGAAGCGCACTACTTTGACAATTTTCAGCCGACCATCCTGCTGCATGCTGTGAATAATGTTTGAGATCAGTTGAAGATACATTTTCATATTTTCATAGTTCTCTAGCAACTTACGTGTATTTGCGAGGTACAAAGGACAAAAGCTCGCCAGAGCCCTCGTCGTTATTGAAGCGCATCTGAGCCAAGTTGTGCAGAAAGAAATTGAATTGTGTGAACCAACTCTTTAACGAGGATTGTATCATTTTGGCAAATGTGGCCGCCGCCTCGGGATTCGATTGTGAAGGCAGCAGAGCACGGCGCACGTAGGTGACCGCATTTGAATTCACGCCAGGCATTCCCGCTGTGGCCATGTGCGCAAGTGTATGCAGCAACAGGTCAGCGTTCTTGCGGACTATGTTGAAGGCACGACAGCAGAGATCAACGAAGTAGTGAAAATCCGTAGACGGTTTGTCACCCCCATTGATAACATATGCCATATCCGAGGTGAGCACAAAAGGAGTGCGATCTCTGCAATGTTAAATTTTATGTTAGCTTGAGATAATTAAAGTGTAGCGCTACTTAATCTAACCTGAAAGCATTTAAGTACATCAAACTTACCTTTTGAAATTACCGAACATTTGAGCATCGCCCAAAAACTTTCCAAAATCAATGTGAAACAAATGTCCTGAGGTCTTAAGCATTATGTTGTCGTTGTGTCGATCACAGATCCCCAGCACGTAGGTCGCCACGCTGTAGCCGGCGCAGGATAGTGTAAAATTGCGCACTGCACTTTGATATTCCAACGGACTTGGATTCTGTTTGCCTAGCCATTCGGCAATGGGTCGATCTTTGAAGGAGCCAGTGAGACCGCATTCCACTTGGATTTTCCGTAGTGTTTCGGCTTCTGAGACTAGTTCGATCATGCCGCGCTTGTACCCGGTAGGCACACAATTAAATGTTACCATCTTAAGATCCAAGCGTTCGGCCAACCACATCTTATTCATGATGCGTATCAGCTGGATCGTAAGCATATCCTGTTGCAAATCATCTCCACACTATCAAAAACGAAACAAAGAAATGTAGTCCATGTGGCTGTAGCAACTAGAACAGCTTACCTTAAAAATAGCTGGTAGAGGCTCAGCATCTGGTCCCACAAATGTGATTTTCAGGGGCAGCGTATTGGAGTTGAAGTAGCTGCAGTTGCGCACATTAACACCCGATACCTCTAGCTCAGGACCCAGTGGCAGGCAGGTGGGCTTCTCTAGCAAATCCTGATGAACTTCATCCATGCCTGCTACCAGACTCTTTTGACGCATCGACTCCTTAGCTTCCTTAACGGACTCCGCAATCTTGGACAGATTCTACAAAGGATAATTATTATCAATTTGTATTATGGAGCATTTATAACTGCTATTCACCTGACACATGCGATGCTGATACATGAAACGTTTGAGCAGCTTCTCGCCACAGATGGCCATGAGAGCGCGCAGCATCATTTTGTTACGGCGATAGTAACGCGCCTGTGTGATTTGCGACTCGTCGTAGTCCTGATCCACCAGTGAGGCGCCAATCGAGTTGAGCGGATCATCGGGCAGACTGTGCACCAGCAACCAGTACATGTGGTGGGCAAAGCGCGGCGACTCCAAACACTTCGAGAGTAGAAAACGCGAAAGCGCGGAAGCCTCGTACGTATCGTGTTTCAACGATTGCACTAGCTGTGGCAAAAAGTCTACCAGTTGATCGTTGGGCATATTTGAAATCCACTCGACAGCTTTTTCGCGCACTTTGGCATCCGGATAGCGTGGTAACAGCAGCTCCAATGCCTGCAGCGGTGACAACGGCGCCCAGGAGTGCAGCAAGGAATGCAAGTCAATCAGATTGGCATAATCCCAGCTATGTGCCGCATGTAAAACCTTGGGCAACGCATTTGGATAGTTCTGCAAGTATAGCCGCTTTTCCCAGAAAACCTCGCGGAGCTCCGTTGCGCCTGAATAGCCCAGCTCGGCTGTATTCAACAACTCTTCCTGTAGATTAGCATCCAGCGAGGCAAAGTCATAGCTGTATCAATGAACTTAAATGAAGAAGTGCTGCAAGTAAAATATTTCATGGGTAAAACTCACTGCGGTGCCTGCTTAGGCGCCTCCTGATGCTCGGGAAACTCTATGCGACCGCCATAGGGAGGTATTTCAATGCTAAGCACTGGACAGAAGTCGGGGTGAGGATGACAGCCACGAGCTGGAGCTGGTCCCAGCATTTTATCAGTGGTTGGTGGCCAAACGGACAGTAAATAGGGACCACAGATCATGGTACGCTTAAAGTCAAAAAGCTGAATGGAACACCAACCCAGCTCCGTGGTCACCTGTCTCCTTTCTCCATTTGGCTCGGCATTTGGCTCATTCTCGCTAGCTGCCTGTTTGCCATAGAGTACAAACGTGAGTCGCGCTTCTCGTGGCAGCGTGCATATTGGATGCTGGTCAAAGGTTAACCAAGCACTGAAGTTCAACCGTGGAAACAGGCCGCCGGTCGTATCATTGGAACAGCTTAAGACGTTTGGTTTGGACAACAGGCGCGTACCATAGACAAGCTGCACGCAAAGTGAGTAATCGTCGTATTTCCAGTTTAGCGGCGGTCTGTGCAGGCAATTGATGCTCACCACAATCGGCTTGGACACACACGATACGGGTATGGGCGCTAAAGTGAATTTTGATCAGTATTAAAGCTCAAGAAAATAATTCATTTTCTTACTTGTGGCGAAGTCCGGCGTCTTCACCGAGAAAGCAACGCGGAACACATTGGCATAGAGTTCAATTAGCTCCTGGACAGCATCGCGCAAGCTATTGCACTTTAATTTGATTTGTTCTAGCGTGGAGCGAGGTCGTAGCGTCACTTGAGCATATTCGCCATAGTCACTGATAATCTCTGGATTGTTAGAGACCGCCAAGGTTGCATACTTGGTCTGGGCCTCCTCGCATATGCGCTTCAAGTCAGAAATGCAACGCGCAATCTCCAGCGTGTCAATAGATCCAAGCAATGCACATATAGCTTTCACAGCTTGCACTACGCCCGAGCAGCTGACGACGGTGCGGCCCGCTGGTGCACCGTCTGCCGCCGATTCGAGCTTATCGATTTCCGTTTCAAGCGTTTCAATGAGTATCATCATGTTGTCGTAGGTAACAATAGCCACCACTTCGTTGGGCAGCACTTGTTCCGGCTGCAGATCTGCGTCATTGTCGTCGTCCTGTTCAGTGCGAGCAATGGCTTCCATATTAGCAGTGGTGCGCAAGCACAACCCCAAATGCACATCCTTCTCCAACTGGAAGCTATTATGCACACACTCAAGCTGGCTTAGCCTTGAGGTGGGTGCCAGCCACTCCAACAAGCCAATGGGCTGCAACAAAAGAAAAGTTTCTGTCATATAAACACTTTTGAATCTTCCTTCCATACGCACCTTGACCACATAGTCTGTGACTGTGCCCTGCACCTGTCCCTCGAGGGAGGCCAACGCCTGCGCCACCACCTGAGCCACAACTGAGTCAACTGCAAGCAAAAAGGTGCCACATTATTCGGATTGATAATAGCCAAATTTATGACATTTACTGTCACAGGTGAAGGTAACTGGGGTGCCATAGCCCTTGATCTGTTCTCCAGCCAATGAATTGGAAAGAGCGTGCGGCTGCAGCGTATTCGTAGCCGGATGTACAATGACCTTTATGCTGGTGTCCATCATGTAATGATAGTTGAACTCGGCGGCTATTATGTGTCCCAGATTTGTCTTTTTGTCTCCATGTTTATAGCTTCCTCGCAGATCCCGCACCATATGATAGAACTCTAAGAGCTCGGGATCATCCGTGCGTTGCTCGCTGATTAGCTGGTAGAGGCGTGTAAAATTTTTCCGACGATCTAGGACGACGTGGGCTGGTATGCTGTTGGTATAGCTGTCTGTGAACGGCGCCAGTTGATGTGGCTTGGACGATGTCGTCGAAATAGTCGAAGTTCTTGCGCCTGTCTCATACAGCTGTTGATTGCGTGGCGGCAATGGCGGTGGCGGTGATATCGAGCCCGAGTTAGGTCTGTCAGTTGCTTGCGCCGATGTCGTCGCAGCTGCAGCTATAACTGCTGCTGTTGTCCATGTGGGTGACGATGAGTGGGAACGAGAGGGCTGAGTGAGGTAATCCTGTCGCCAGCCAATGGAGCTAACGCTGCCACTATTAACGGCGCTCTTGTCCCATCGGTTGACCGCCTCGTACATGGGATCCGAGTACTGAGTTCCATTGTCGCCGCTATAGAGGAAGTCAAAGGGATCGTAGTCCGCGTAGTAGGAAGTGCAGTCGGAGGCGCCGTCGTTGCCTGCAAGTAACGAGTGCATCATCAATCAGCGAGTTAATTAAACTAAAGCAATCGCACGATTCACTATTATGCAAATGACCACACGATCGACCAGTTCGAAACGAGTCGATCCGAGCGTGAAGCCAAAAATAAAATAAACAAAAGCCCACACAGCGATATAGCCAGCCGCGAATGGCACTGAGCGACTGTAGAGAACGTTTCGCAAAACTATGCTAACAAATCTGTTCGGCCTCCCATTCTAACCAATTTTCATTTCAGCAAGAGACCAATTGGCTCAGCTGTCGGCGGACGCCCACACGACACAAATGAAAATAAATATATATATATATAAATATTTACATAAATCACAGACGGCATTCCATTTAACCTTTTCCTTTAATATGCTGACCAAATGTATGCTAAAAAAAGTTCTTTACATATACTACAAATATATAGATAGAGGAAGTTCTTATATATATCAAATAATACACATTTAAAAGGGAATGGTGGAATTAGCTTCTTACTATTCAATGCCTACATAATGAAATAGTTCCCTGGCTATATATTTACATATACACATACATATATATTTCGTGTTTGAATAATCCCATATCACGAACAAGAATCAAAAATTAAATAAGTTTTCGTATTCCGAACGCTCAGCGTTGAATTGTTTAATAAAACAACAAAATGTTGAAATTTTTATTCTCAGACATAGTTTATTATTGGTCTCCAAAAGTTATACAAGCATGTATTTGACATATGTATGTATATATGTATATTAAAATATTATATGTTTATATATTTATATATATATATATATATATATATATGTGTATGTATATGTAAATATGAAACTGGAAATCACAATTTCTTCTGTTCCATAATACTCATCAAAAAATTAAAGTTAGTTTAATTTTATGTGATTTGCCATCGCAGACAAAAATTGTCAAATTCATTTAGAAATTGCGCAAAAATACTAATTTAAATATACACTTTTTCTGTGATGTTTAATGTGATATGAGGCCATCAGTTTGATCGCTGATTGATCATAAAACTCTCACTTTTTATTCAATATTCAATTCATACAGTGAGAAAATTTCTAGTGCAATCGTGGAAGGCACAAGTTTTTCGACTTAAGATTGTTATAAATATATATATATATATATATATAAATGTTTGTGTTTGTGAGCAGGTGTTCATAAGTGGGTACTATTAACATGTACGTGGCATCTATTTTTATTTTGAATTCAGATTTATCCACACCATAAAACCCTGAGCCCGTTTTGCCTTTTAGCTGATGACGTGTTGTTGTGTATGTGTCGCCTGACTTTTCTTTTATTAGTTGTTGTTGTTGTTCTGGGTGGGTGTTGTTGTTGTTGTTAAATAGTTGCAGTTATTTGGTAGTAGTATGTAGTACTTAGTATGGATAGTAGTAGAAGTTTTACACTAAAATGTATTACTTTTGCGACACTGCAAAATAGAGAAACAGAAAGCATTCAGTTTAACAGTTTTTTACTATTTTTATAGAACTTGGTATGGATAAACAACAGCAACAACAACAGCGTGAAACAATATTACAAACAAAAATAAATAAATAACAATTAAAAATGATACCATGTTATAAGATCCATGACACACGGACAGACAGTTGGCAAGGACCATATTTCTAGTCTTAATTTCATATACAAACTAGAACTGAAGTTGATCAAAGTAATTTTTTCAAAGCATTGAAAATAATGATTTTAATTAATGTGAATTAAAATTTTTGATTTCCCACTGTATGAATATAAATGTTGAAAGATGAACTAGTCAGCCCTGTACTAATTAGTATAAATAATCTATTTGTTTGTCAATTGCTCTTTGGCTGATCTTTACTAATAATTTTAGAACTTTATGCACGCAATTTTAGTGAAATTATTTAAATTCAATCCACGGCTTAAAAGTGTGTTAAAATCTAATCGCTACAATGGAAAGACGCTTTATCAATACGGTTTGAATTAAAAGACTAGCTAAGAACATTAACCACTGCTTACCAGAATTTTCATTCAGCAGCGGATCAAAAGCTTCCAGAACACTGACTCGGGCACTGCAAAAGATAAACGTCAATTAAAGAGGTCGATCATGGGAGTTGGAATGAGCAATATAATGATGCATACTAGTCATCCTGCTTCAAATCGATCAAATCGTTACCGCTGCGCTGAGCTGGCAACGCGGGTCCAACGGACGGGCAGCTGCCAACTGGAGGTGTGGCTCGTCTCAAATTGAATGCAGCTGGCGTTGCAGCGCCGGAATGTGGAACAGAACGGCTGGAAGCTGGTACTGGAGTTGGTATTGCTGCTGCTGTTGCTGTTGCTGGAGTGCTATGTGGACGTGCAAAATCCACGTGCGAGCTGCCACCGTTGTTGAGCGCAAAGCCATAGCCATAAGCCTGTGATGGATACTGTGGCGGCATATAGGCAGCCGAGCCGGGCACAACTGGTGCAGAGAAAGTTGGATAGTACACAAAGCCAGCAGGCTGGACCGGGACGACTGGCTGTAGTGCCAATTGGTTTGACATGCTGTAGAGCCGCTGCAGTTCCTCGTTATTTAGTGGTCGTTGTTGTGACTGTTGCGTGGGCGCTTGATATGGCACCAGCTGCATGCCAACGCCGCCTGCCCCACTTGGTGGCACACCATACGGTGGTGTTGCATACTGCACGGGCATTGGCGTTGCAGCCGCCACCGGACCCACTGGCACCAACGCCGTTTGGGAATTATTGGTCTGTAGACGTTGTAGATCCTCAATTAGCCGCTCGAAGGTGCTGCCGCTCTCTGACGTCGGCTGCTTACTTGTGGGACTGGCAAAGCAGATCAGATCGTTGTCCCCATTGCCATTGTTAGTCTGAGCCGGCGGCGTGCTCGACCGTCCCGCGCTGCTAAAGGATGAGCTCGCCTGATGCACTTCCGAGTGTCGTCGCTGAGCTACACTGTGACCTCGTAGTTGTTGGTGGTGCTGTTGCTGTTGAGTGTAGTAATCGGCATTGACTGTTTGATAGCCAGTGCCGTACTTCTTGTTTCGCCTGTAGTCATCGAGGGCCTGCTGCTCCAGACTGAGCGCCGTTGCCTTGGCCAAGTCCTCTTGGAATTGCCTGTCATAGTCGATCTGTGCCTGATTCGACATTATCCTCGTCCACACCAGCTGCTGAAAAAGAAATACAAATTAAATATTGCTGCCAGAACGTTGATTTCTATCCGAACAATGCCTTTTGAGTTTATTTCTACGCTTATCTATGCCACATTCGCCTGAGCGATAACAAAACCAACGATAAAAGCGATTACGTGCTGTAAAAGTCCAACAATATTATATAGACAAAGCAAAAATATATATTCATGTTTTAATTTTTTGTTTGGAATTTTTCCCCAAAGCCAATCATGTTACAAATGCAGTTAATGCAGCCCATGTGAAAAATAAGCAAGAGAAACGAATCTAAAATTTGAAGATTAACATTCTAATAATTTTATTTGTTCTGTAGTCCCTCACTATCTCCTCGATGAGTCAATGTTTCGCTATCTATGCGACTTATACAAAACATTTTAAAATACATTTTAATCAATTGTATTCTTGCTTTTAGTTGATCAGATTGTCCAAATATTTTTGATTATAAATAATAATTTGGAACTACCACAGCGTGAAGATCTTTTAACCTGATTACTTATTATTTTTAATAACGATTCTCTTAGTTTTTATTTCCATTTAGTTGTTGGCATTTAATTGAATGTTTTTCTTACAAAAATACAGCAATTACTGGCCAAAATAATTATGTAACCTATATTTTTACCAAACTCTTTGATGAGTTTCCATTACCTGACGGTCTACAACTAACCGAAATGCCTAACCAATTTCGATAGTTCAGCAAAAGTTGTTATGTTACGCTGTTTTGACTTTGATAAGAGCTTTCTTAAGCAGCTGTTTCTACAATAATTAAAAAGTAAAAACCAGACTCCGTTATGAACATTTATCAATTTAATTTAATAATAGTTTTTAAGGCCATTTTTTAAGGGTTTTTAATGAGATGAATTGATATTGATATGAAGATGACTTGATATTTCTAAAGAACCTCATTTTAATGTAAAACTGAGATAAATAACAAATCTTTCACGAATATCTCTTATATAAACGAATACGATTTTATTTTAATATACAATCGGCAAGGGGAAAATAATATTATGCATTAAAATTTTGCGAAAATAAAATTTGCATAAAAATCAAACAAAACAAAAAAAAAGGTTTTATTAAATTTCAATTTTGTATGATTTTTATTGTATGATATACGAATGAATATAAATTTGCAATTTGTTCAATGTATTTTTCTGTTAAGGCCATATGCATAAATAATTCATTCATATATATATATATATATATATATATATATATATATATATACATGCATACATGTATTCATTACATTAGTGGCCACATAGACGATAAAGCGTTTGTTTTGTTGCTGTGATTCTGTGTGCCACGGCGAATCAAAACAAACAAATGCGCCACTTTCTCACGATTGCCTTGAGAGGAGAACAGCTGTTCAGCATGAATGCCCGCACACATATGCACCCATATGTGCGTAGTACTGCACACATACGCACATAGTAGAAACACAGATGTGGTACCGGCGCATACACACAATGTGAAAACGAAATTAAATTGCTATCAAAAAGGGGACACAATAGATAAGAAAGCATAAGCCGGCGAGGTAAAAGTATCTGGCGAGGCAGATCAGTAAGGCAATGCATAGGTTAAAGCAAATCAATAAAATATATAAATATATAAGCGGACAATAAATGATGTGATGAGTATGAGGCGCAGCAGTTCGGCAAGTTAAAATTTGCATACGTACATACATATACACGCGTATGTATTTGCAAAGGTGTGTACGTACGCATACACCCAAATTAATGTAGTTAACTCTGTATGGGTTGGCACAACCGCAGTGCAGAAAAAGCACGAACGAATATATACGAAAATAATAACGATAGTCATTATATTAATCAGCATTATTTTAAGATATTTTTAAATATATATATATATATAAATATATATATTTATCTTAATAAATGTGTATGTTGTAAACAGCAATGGATATGTACTGTTGGCAGTGCATACGCACACACACACACCCATAAGTGCACACATGTATATATTTACATGCACGTATTTGGTTTCGCTTTTCATCCACTTACGTATTTTGCTTTCGGTTTTTTCGTACTTGCTCAAAGCTGACGTCGATGTTAGTTGCTTTAATTTTCATATGCTATATATTTTTTGCGTTTTCATTTGTATTTCTTGTTACTTCCGCGGCTTTGGAGCTTCCTCCACTCTCATACACAAGCATACATACATATAAACATATAACACACACATACAAATTTAAACTTGCACAAGAAAACGAAACTGAACACACTGATACACGTAGGCGTAAAACGCGAAATACTGCTTATTTCAACATATCACTAGGAGACATAATTGAACAACATAATAAGTATACTTAATTGAATGTTACTAAAATGCTACGGGTGCTTCGTCACACAAAAGAATAATAACAAACGCCACGGAAAAATGCGCAAAACGGAATGCAACAAGCAGAGGAGTAAAATTAAATATTAATATCTAATGTACACACTGAAAACTATCTGAAGTCTATCGATTGTTATTCAAGTATATCGATACACAATTTTTAAATTCAAATATTGGTACTTTTTAATCAATCTATCGCATATTTAGATTGGCTAACATTAAGTCTTCGATTTCCAAAGTATTGCCATTGTCTAAAGCTAACTTTTTGGAGTCATCATCAAGTGCAACACTTGTCCAGTATTCCAAATCTACATTTTCAGACAAATTATACATTCTGCGATAAGAAGCTTCAATGTTTTCATCGAGCATGCGATCCACAATATCACCCGCCGGAATAGCCGGTTGATTTTCTGGCTGCGACCTAGGCTGACCGTTATTTTCAGCCGCTAGCGAAGGCGACGTGGTTAATCCTTTTTCATGGCCGTGGCCGTGGGCCGTCATGCGTTGATTGAATTCGATATTCTCAACGCCCATTTTGCAGAGCGCGCATTTGCTTTGGCCGATCTTTTGCTTCATTTTTTGCAAAGCAATGCGATCTTGAGCGAGTAACATACGCTCCTGAGAGATTTGTGCCTCTTTCTCGCTTAGCTCGTGGGCGCGTTTGCCCAGCAGCTGCAGCTTGGCATGCAGTAATTGTTCAGCGTCCCGAGCTTTGTGTTCGGCAGTGTGTAGCCGCTTAATGGCCAGGCGATAGGCGGTGGATGTCTGCAATACCTCATCCTCCTTCATGCTGAGCGCATTTTCTTTGTCGAGGAGCACTCGCTTGCGTTGCTCCAGCTCCCGCTGCTGTTTGTGACAACGTTCTCGCTGCTCATCAGCGCGCTTGATGGCATCTCGTGCCACCTGCAGCTGCGCCTCCAACTCCAATCGTTCCCTATCCAAATCGCCCTGCTCCTGGAGCTTGTGCTGCATCTCGAGCTTTTGCTGCTCAACCAACAGACGATTCCGTTCCTGTTGCACATCCAGATGCATGCGCTCAACTTCGGCTAGCTGCAACGCCTTTAGTTCCTCAATTCGCTTCTCATCGCGCTCCAATTGCTCGCGATGGAACTGTTTCTCCCGTTCGAATGCCTTCTTCTCCGAATCTATGCTAGCCATGCGCTGACGCAATTGCCAATTCTCTTCGGCTGTGTCCTTAGAAATGCGTTCTAACTGTAATTCCAATGTGCTCACAAGTTCCATGAGGCGTCGCTTCTCGCGCTCGGCGCCCTCCTCATCGATTTTTAAGCGGCGCTCCGCATCCGCCAGACGACGCTCTCGAAATTCCAATTGGTGCTCGCGCTCCTTGGTTGTGGTGAGGCCTTCGCGCAGCTCTTGCAGATCACTGGATGCCATGCGCAATGTTTCCAAGTAGCTGCCATGGTCCTGCACGGTCGCCTGCTCGAGCATTTTGGCTTGCCTTATGCGCTCCAGGTCAGCATCATGCGAGCTACGCAACATGCGCAAATCGTCCTCGTGGTCCTGTTTCAAGGTTGTGATCTGCAGTTCATAGTCGCCTTTGAGTTTCTCCAGTTTCTCTGTATAATACTCCTTCGTCTCGGAGTTTTCCAGTTTCAGACGCTCTTCCACGGCAGCCAAGTGCTGCTCCAATACCTTGAGTTGTTTTCTAATAAAGATTAACTGTGTGAGATATTTGTGGAATGCAACTGACTTCACTTACTTATAGGAGCTCTCGATCATTTCGATTTCCTGCTCGTAGTTGACACGCATGTTGGCTACCAGCTCCTCCAGTCGCTGCTTCTCCAGCAGATGTCGTCTAACGTCCGTTTCCAACTGTAGCATCTGCTCCTTGCTCTCATCTTTGGCTGCCACGCAAGCAGCTGGGACTTTTTCGACCTCAGTAGTAGCTGGCAGGGTCTCAGTGGTTGCAGCTTGTGCCATGATGGGCTGGCTCATCATCAGTTGAAGATGCATGTTGATGCGTTCCTGCTGTGCCTTGATATGCTCTTCCATTTGCAGTTGACGCTGCAGCTGCTGCTGCAACAGCGCTTGAAACTTGCGATCCTGCGTCTCCTGCTTCTGCTGCATTTCCACCAGAGCGCGCTCCTGGGTCTTCATTTGGGCGGCAATCGTCAGCTGCGTCTCCTGCTGTTGCAGGGCAGTGTAGCTGTGACTGCTCTCCAAGTTCAAGGAGTTTAACATTAGTATCGTATGCGCTGTGCTGTCTACAGAGGGCAGCACATTCGGTTGTTTCGCTTCCAGCTTTTGTTCATCCGAGTCGGGAATACGAAGTATCTCCGTGTTATTCTTTGGAATTGTTGCGGGCTCTTTTGTTGTTGTTGACTTGGGCGTGGGTGAGGAGGTTGCGCGTTCTTGCTCCTCCTCGGCAGTTGAAGGTGCTTCTGCCATCTCCACACTCAAACCCAGCCAGTCAGCCGTGCCATGCTTCTTTGAGACGGGCGTGGACATGCCTGAAACATTGGTACTCGTCTCCTTCCCAAATAGGCCCAGGGGATCCGCATTCAGATTTGAGGATTGCACAGTTCCAGAACTGCGTCTACCAGCGCCTGCTGCTGTTTTAGGACGGGCCTGTGAGTGAACGTTAGAGTTTTCTGTCGTGGTGTCTGTGGACTGGCGAGACATTGAAGGTTTTGCAGTTGCTGGACGCTTGTTGGCGGATTCGCTGTTATTTAGAATGTCATCGAAAATGTTTCGCTTAGGTTCTGCAGTACCTAGTAAATCGTCAAAGAGACTCTTTCGTGCTGCTCCGCCACTCTTTGGACGCTTGGGATCAAATCCCAAGTCATCATCCTCGGCATCATCCATTGAGAGCGATGGCTTTTGTTTGACTATGCGCGGTGTGCTTGCTGCAGTCGATTTGGCATTTCCTTGCATTGTTGCCGTAGAATTGTGGAGATCTGGTTCACTTTCCTCTTTTATTCCGAATAAATCTTCGAGTTTCCCTTTAGGTTTGCTTGATTTCGGCAATTTCTTTGCAGCGCCGCCACCGGTTGGCGCGTCGAAGAAATTATCATTGTCCAAACTATTATCACTGAGTAGATCAGCTAAGGGGTCGTCACTAAAGTTCATAGTATATTCTATCTAATTTCTATTTCTCTTATAATTTTTCAAAACGGGAAAAAAGAAAAGTTGGAAAATGTAAAAAGCAACCGTTGCTTAGTAACGAACTTTGGTATTTTTTAGGATTATTGCAGAATGTGTACACACCTAAAAAGTGTCAAACTGCAACAGGTTGTACTATTGATTTTTATGACAATCTATAGTGTATCTATTTAAAAATAATATCGATGAATTGCTCAAATACTTGCATCACTAACTATAAACCATCAACGCCGAAGTAAACAATTCGTGGTTTCGTATCTTATTTGTTTGTTTTATATAAAAATGAGCAATATTTACATTCAGGAGCCGCCTACATCTGGCAAAGTGCTGTTGAAAACCACAGTTGGTGACATCGACATTGAGTTATGGGCCAGAGAGTGCCCGAAAGCATGTCGCAATTTTGTTCAGCTCTGTTTGGAGGGCTATTACAATGGCACGACTTTCCATAGGCTAGTCAAAGGATTCATTGTGCAAGGTGGAGATCCCAATGGCGATGGTACAGGCGGAGAATCGATTTATGGTCACCCGTTTAAGGATGAATTTCATTCACGTTTGCGCTATTCGCGTCGCGGATTGGTGGGCATGGCGAACTCGGGCAAGGATGACAACGCCTCACAGTTCTTCTTTACCTTTGCGCCAGCGCCAGAGCTGGAAAATAAAAATACTCTCTTTGGTAAAGTCACTGGTGACACGGTGTTCAATATGCTCAAACTGGAGGAGGGTATCGTTGATCACCAGGAGCGACCAATGTATGCGCATCGCATAATTTCTGCAGAGGTGCTCAGCAATCCCTTCAACGATATTGTGCCACGCTCCCTGCCAAAAGCAACAAAAGTGAAGAAAAGCAAGAAAGAAAAGCAGGGAGTGAAGTGTGTATTTAATTTAATATCCATTTGCAATTTTGAAGCCGAAATTAAATTATACCCCTTTTAGAAACTTTGGACTACTTTCGTTTGGAGAGGAGGCGGAAGGAGATGAACAGGAGACAACAATTTTTGTTAAGCAAAATGCTGGCAAAGCCAAATCTTTGCATGATGCAACAGATGATCCAAAACTGAGCAAGGAACCCATTAAAATGCCCAAAACAGAGCCAGAGCCAGAACCAGAGCAGAATGACGAACATTTATCAGATGACTGCGAGGAGGAGACATTTGCTAAGACTTCAATTAATGCAGAGATTGTTAAATCTAAACTGGCTAGAAGTTCAAAAGCCACTTCGGCAAAGCAGCCAAAATATAAAGATATTAAAAGTGAATCTGAGGAAGACGATGACGACATTCTGATGACCCAAGAGCAGGAACAAAACCAAAAAAAATCAAAAGAAAAGTATGTGTATAGATGGTGCTGTTTATATTATTTTAAATACATTCTTAATCTATTATAGATCTAAAATCCGGGAAGAAATTGCTTCACTGAAACGACAGTATCAAATGGATAAAGTCAACAAGGATAAGCAATTGTCTAAAGAGCCCGAAAAGAATTCTAAGAAAGAAGACATTAAAGGAGCGAGCGAAAATCAATATATTAAAGATTTTATACAAACAAAAGAAAAGTATACGGTTAAAGCAAAAACGGTGCTTAAGGGACAAGGAAGGTATGTACACTAGGTTTTAAATGTAAATTGTTATAAAAACTAAGAAATTCTATATATCAGAGAGGAATTTACACTGAGTTTGTTATCCAAATTCAAATCCAAATTGGACAATCTTAAATATAAATCTTCGTCTGATGATGCCGACAAGGAACCTAAGCCAGTAGACGATAACGAAGTGGAAAAGGAAATCACTGGGGATGACTGGTTGGCACACACTTTAAATTTTAACAGTAATGTTCCTGTACTGGCCAAAGATGCGTCTACTAAAGGTGATGATTGGTATGATGTATACGACCCGCGTAATCCGCTTAATAAACGTAAACGTGGTGCAACAGATCACTCTAAATCTTCACAGAAGTTCAAATCCTCTAGATAATATGTATGATTGAATAAAAATATAAAATTTTAGTTACATGCACTTTTTAAACTTCGCGGGAGTGTTCGATATGTCGATAATTATTATATATCGCTTTGAAGTACTAAAATTTAGTTCGCATTTGGTATTTATCGATTACTAAATACCTATTAAACCATCGAAGAACTATCGATAGCATTGCTAGCGGTAGCAGCTGAACAATAAAAAAACGAACCCAAGGTGAAGTAATTTGGCTTTTAAAAATACAGGTAATTATTGCAAAGCGTTAACTCCAACTTGTGCACAAAATTTGGCTTATTAAGTGACGTCATTTATGAGAATAACTGAAGACATAATAAGACGACCAAAACCAGCCAAAATTCGCGTCACCGTCAAATTATTGATTTTATATGACATTTGTTTGCCGTCACAGCTACAGCCCCACACAAAACATCGACTGACCGAAGTGCGCGGGGTAAAAAGGGGGTACGAAGGCAAGGCTGCTTTAGTCACCGTCTCCAAAAACAGCCACCAGCAAAACAGAGCAGAATGAGTGCGAAGAGCAAACGCCCAGGCACGGCGAGCAGCCAAACGCCGAATGAGTGCGTCCAGGTGGTTGTACGATGTCGACCGATGAGCAATCGAGAGCGCACTGAGGGCTCACCGGAAGTGGTCAATGTGTACCCCAATCGTGGAGTCGTGGAGCTACAGAACCTTGTGGATGTTAATAAAGAGCAGCGCAAGGTGTTTACTTATGATGCGGCCTATGATGCGGCGGCCTCGCAGACTACGCTCTATCATGAAGTAGTCTTTCCGCTGGTCAGCTCTGTGCTGGAAGGCTTCAATGGCTGCATATTCGCCTATGGCCAAACGGGCACCGGGAAAACGTTTACGATGGAAGGAGTGCGGGGTAATGATGACTTGATGGGCATTATACCGCGCACTTTCGAACAGATCTGGCTGCACATCAATCGCACGGAGAACTTTCAGTTTCTGGTGGATGTTTCATACTTGGAGATTTATATGGAAGAGCTGCGCGATCTACTTAAGCCGAATTCCAAGCACCTGGAGGTTCGAGAGCGTGGATCCGGCGTCTATGTGCCCAATCTGCATGCCATCAATTGCAAGAGCGTCGACGACATGATAGGCGTCATGAAGGTGGGCAACAAGAACCGCACCGTTGGCTTCACCAATATGAACGAGCATAGCTCACGGTAAGTTCTGACATAGCTCTCTAACCTTTAGGTTCGTTGATTTATTGTGCTGATTACCTTGCAGCTCGCATGCCATATTCATGATCAAGATTGAGATGTGCGACACGGAAACGAACACGATCAAGGTGGGCAAGCTGAATCTCATCGACTTGGCGGGCAGTGAGCGTCAGTCAAAGACAGGCGCATCAGCGGAACGGCTTAAGGAGGCCAGCAAAATCAATTTGGCCCTCTCATCGTTGGGCAATGTGATCTCAGCACTGGCGGAGAACTCCCCTCACGTACCGTATCGCGATTCAAAGTTGACGCGCCTGTTACAGGACTCGCTGGGCGGCAATTCCAAGACGATCATGATCGCTAACATTGGACCTTCGAACTATAACTACAATGAGACGTTGACGACGCTGCGATACGCACAACGTGCGAAGAACATACAGAACCAGCCAATTAAGAACGAGGATCCGCAGGATGCTAAACTAAAGGAGTACCAGGAAGAGATTGAGCGACTCAAGCGGCTCATTGCGCCGCAGCAACAACAGCGCACCGAGAAACTGGCTGCAGCCGCCAAGAAACGCGTCAAGAAGCCCAAACGAGAGCCACTGAAGCGCGAATTAACAGACAGCGTGACACAAGAGCAACTGCAAGCGGCCGAGGAGGAAGGAGAGAGCGAACCGGACGCTTCAGAGCCAGAGTCCGACAAAGAAAACGAGGCGGAAGTAGCCAAGTCCAGCGAGCAACTAGAGCGAGAGCGTGTGGAGAATGCTAAGCTGGCTGCCAAGCTAGCCGAGCTGGAGAGTCAGCTGGTGCGAGGCGGTAAGAATCTGCTGGATACGTACAGTGAACGACAGATTGAGTTAGAGAAAAAGCTGGTGGAGATAGCGGAGCGGAAGAAGCGTGAAATTGAAATACAACAGCAGCTGGAGCTGCAGGAGGAAACTACGCTCGAGATACGGGAGCGCAACGTATCGCTGGAGCAGGAGGTCGAGTTGAAGAAACGCAAACTTTCCAAATGCTATGCCAAATATCTGGCACTGCAGCAAGAGCTCAACGACTGCAAGCACGATCATAATCAGGATCTGCGCGAACTGGAGATGGCACAGAACGAGCTGGTCAAGGAGCTAAAACGTCAGCTGCTCATCATCGACAACTTTGTGCCCATCGAGGTGAAACAGCGGCTCTACACGCAGGCCAAGTACGACGAGGAGCAGGAGGAGTGGAAGTTCGCATCATTGCCTCTCCACATGAATGCCAGCGATGGTAAATTTATTAGCAAACGTCCCGTCTCGCATCCACTTCGCCGACGACCCATCTCTGAGTATGCACTCCAGGAGGCAAAGTCGAATGATCCCAGTGCCCTGCGCTTCAAGAGCGAAAACATTGTCAGCTACGAGCTGGACATGCCTTGCCGCACCACACAAGAGTACCGTTCGCCCAAGGTGTCCGCCTCCTTGCAGGCGGTGCTGGCTCAGGCGATGCAAACCGGCGATGACATCGACATTGTAGACACCCAGACTAGCTCGTTGCGTTCTCGCCTGGAGAACATCATCAATGGCAATGCTAACAGTAGCAGCACGGCTTCAGCTGACGCCTCGCCCACAAGTGCTACTGCCCCCTCCAAGCTCGCCAAGTCCACACGCAGCGGCTTGCCCAGTCCGGGCTCAGCTCTCGACTCCAATCGACGGCCGCCCACAGGCCGTGTGCAGCCCAAGAAGCCGGCTTCAGCCTATCCCAAGGCACGCGGCCTCGTCAACAAGTAGTAAAACGAAGGACTAACCCAACTCATCTCAGTCAAAGAGTCACAAACACACGCATAAACTAACCAAAGTTCTCATAGTCACAGTATATAAATCGAATCCTTGTTCCAGTTGAGCATTCTATGCAAATAATTTAGCCCAATCTTCGCACAATTCTCGCTTTGTAAAAGTATTTTGCATATTTGCATTGTGTTTTATTTTTTTATAATTTTATTTATTGTTTAGAAACTCGCGTTATTTCATTTGTTATTGCTATTTTGTGTATCCAGTCGGGCAGCGCCTGCATTTTGCCCCACTGTGTCCAGTCATTCATTTAATGTGCAATTTAAGTTTAAGCTTAATATATAATTCTAATTGTTTATTATAATTATTATTATTTTAATATTATTATTATTATTATTTTAATATTATTATTATTATTATTATTATTATTATTATACTTACATAGTAAAAGCCGCTTAGTTAATCAGACAAACCAAATAAAGCAACTCAAAACAATTGTATAAGAATATTTTATTTGGTTGCCAGATATGACGATTATATTGAATTCGATTTTTTGAGAATCGCATAGAACAGCGAGTGATGTAATGGAGCTAGCGATTGACAGTGATTTAGATGGGAAAGTGGGTTAAACAAATAGCTTAAGTGTAACGAAAAATGAAAGAGAATTAGTCGGGAATATGGGAAAAACTATTTCAAGAGATTTTCTAAAAGTAAAGAAAACAACATGATTTGCTAAAATATCATATATATTTGAAACTGTGCTGCAGTTCCATAAATGCCAACGAATTTCCTGAAATAATTCTAAATGCAAAAACTTGTACCAAATCTCATTGAGGTTTGCATAATTATTTGATGACCTTCAGTGAGCGTCCCACCTCGATGAACGCCTGAATAGCTTGATCGATTTCTGACTCTGTGTGAGCTGCAGAGATTTGGACGCGTATGCGTGCCTTGCCCTGCGGAACCACCGGGTAGCTAAAGCCAATGACATAAATGCCACGTGCTGCGTAAAGATACAGCAAGTTAATTAGGCAGGGAAAGAGGTAAAAGGAAAACACTTACTGAGCATCTCATCGGCGAAGCTGGATGCGAGACGAGCATCGCCCAGCATCACTGGGCAAATGGGATGATTTTCGCCGGCAATGGTGAAGCCAGCCTTGGTCATCGCCTGGCGGAAGCGTTGGGTATTGCTTTGGACGCGCTGACTTAGTTCACTTGAGCTGAGCAGCATGTCCATGACCTTCAGGCCCACGGCGACCACCGCCGGTGGCAGGGTATTGGAGAAGAGATATGGGCGTGACTTCTGGCGCAGGAATGAGATGAGCTCGGTAGGACCAGTGGTGTAGCCGCCAGAGGCGCCGCCCAGGGCCTTGCCCAGCGTTGAGTTGATAATGTCCACCTCGCCCATGACATTGTCGTACTCCTCTGTGCCGCGACCGGTGGCCCCAAAGAAGCCCGTCGCATGGCACTCATCCACGAAAACTAGTGCATCGTACTTCTTGGCCAGCTCGACAATGCGTGCCAGCGGTGCTATATTGCCATCCATGGAGAAGACTCCATCGGTGGCGATCAGCTTGAGCCGAGCATCGGTCGAGCGCAGCTGCTGCTCCAGATCAGCCAGATCGCGGTGCTTATAGCGCTGTTTCTTGGCCCTGCACAGACGAATGCCATCAATGATGGACGCATGGTTCAGCTCATCCGAGAAGACGGCATCCTCTGGCGTGAGTATAGCTTCAAAGATGCCAGCATTGGCATCAAAGCAGGAGGCGTACAATATGGTATCCTCCCGCCCATGAAATTGCGAAATCTTCTGCTCCAGCTGCTTGTGAATATCCTGAGTGCCACAAATGAAACGCACAGAGCTCAAGCCGGCGCCATACTTCCCCAGCAGCTGCTGACTGTACTGCACAATCTCCGGGTTGTTCTGAAAGATTTGTTACAGAGTTTGAAGAGAGGCATCCACAACTGACTCAAGCACTTACCGCCAGTCCCAGATAGTTGTTGGCGCAGAAGTTGAGTATCTTCTGATCGCTGCCCTGCACCGTAATCTGCGTGCTCTGCGATGAGGTGATGATGCGCTCCGCCTTGAACGTGCCGGCCTCCTTAATGCCGCTCAGCTGCTTGCCGAGCAGCTCACGCAGCTGCGATTGTGCTGCGGCGCTGTACTGACGCATTGGCTGCCTTCCAGCTGTGAGCAGCACAAGCACAAGGGGATTGCATAATGGGAAAGTAGATATATATGAGAAACGATTATATCAATTGCCATCACGACGTACACCAACCGGTCAGCGACAATATTTTCGAAAAAGCTGGCATCGCGCAGCGTATACTTGATTTCAATGCGTATACTTGATTTCAGCTAGCAGCAGGCACGAGTCTGCTCAACGTCTCGCATGGAACTGAACGCCAAGCAACGACAACAATCAGCACCAGGCCCCCTAAAACAGCAACAATAACAGCTGGCTGAAGAAGGCGTTGTTGTTTTTCCGATTTATAAATACATAAACAGCGTATATATATGTGCATATATATATCACTCATAACTATGTACAGAAATGTTTGTTACTAAACGAATTGAATTTGCTTTCATTTTCGTTGTCATAGCTGCGTTGGCACACTGTTAGAGTTCATTTTATCTCTAGCACTAAGAGAAAATTTGAGTCAAGTGTACAAAATAAACTTTTATTATTTAGTTTTTGCAACACAATTGTTTCCTATCTATAAGTCAGTTGCTTGAAATGTCATCAAACATTAATATACCAAATCAGAAAGTTCTATAAAGGTAGAGCTCTCTCATGACAAATCGTTTGAGGATTTCTACAAATTTATGAAATTTAGTCTTTTAAATAAATTATGTTAAGTGTAAACATATTTTCAGAATTTTTTTTTTTGCTTAAAATAATAACTGGTATTGCTTTTAAGACTCTTTTATTTCAGTGTAAATTTCCAAATATATTTATTTACATTTTTGATTAGTTTTTTTTTAAATTAATTAATATTTTTTTTGTTACATTGAAAAACAAATAAATTTAATGTTAATAATACTTTATCTGTAATAGAAAAAAATTGTATATAAATCTTTTTCTTTTAAATAATATCTATTTTTAAAGCCACCGTGCACAGTGTGACATATTGGGGTCGTTGCCATTTACAAATTTATTTTATTTTGTAGGCAGAGCTCTTTCGATGCAATTACTATCAAGGTCATTGCCAATTAGGCTCTGCTACAAATATAAATATATATATACAGATATATGTATAGATTCATCAAAGCTTTGCATTTGATTTGAACTTCATAATTTGATGGGATTTGTGGCATTTCAATAATAAACTAAGCTGATAAGACATGTGTATATTATATATATAAATATATAATTATATTTTTATATGTATCAATTAACTATTTGTAAATAAATGTATATAATTAATGTAATTTGCACATATTTCATGTACATCTATGCCGTAGATCATGAACTAATAACTAATTTATTCAATAAAACTTACTAATAAAGGGTGCAGAAAGGTTATTTGAGCATTATATATATATAAAAACAGAGCTTAAATTATTCATAATCTGCATCAGTCTAATTAACATTTGAATATAATAAATAAGTTATCATTGGAATAATCAGAAACTGGGTAAGCTAAAATATATTAAATAAATAAATACATATAAATAAATTTAATTTGAATTAACTGTTTAAACCTAAGACAAAACAAATGTTAAATTTGCTAAATGCTATAATTAGAATTAAAAAATAAAATTTCTTGACGAAAACATAACTTGCTGATTGAAAACCTTTTTTATTTAGTTTCAAAAAATATATAAATTCTGCAAATATAAAAAAAATTTAAAAAGTCAAAAAAAAAGATTTTACTGAACAGGTTCTACCGAGATTTGAACTCGGATCGCTGGATTCAAAGTCCAGAGTGCTAACCATTACACCATAGAACCTCACACTTTTGCAGCGCCTTAAGCAACAAACATATGTGAAGACATCTGTGCTTGGTGCGCTACGATTCACACTACGATTCGATTAGCAGCATGAACACGACTCTAATAACATTTTCGATGAATGAATAAATATTTGGCAACCGAGAACAAAATTGCAGAAATGAAAGATTTCTATTTTTTATTTTATTACAATTTATTTTACTACAATTTAATACAATTTATAATATAAATTAAAAATATTACAAAAATATTTGTAAAATGTTGTAAATCCATATGTTTCTTATGTAGATAAAAACCTAAAGTTGAAAGTTGTCTGGCCGGCTAGTAGATACCCTGTAATTGTAATTGATAGAAATATATAAGCAATTTGCAGCTAATTTTCAGATAATGATCCGAAAATATTTTTTTATGATTTTATTTAGTTATTTTTGTGAGTGGAAAAACATATAATATTTAATATTTAAAACGTAAAGTTTTATGTTAACTACTCTTAATTAATTATTATTAATAATGATAATGATAATGATCCGAAGATGATATTTTTATGATTTTATTTATTTATATTTTTAAGTGGAAGAACGTGTAATATTTAATATTTAAAACGTAAAGTTTTATGTTAACTATAATTAATTAATTAATTATTATTATTAATTTTCAAAAAAAGGTTTTACTTATCTACAGTCTGGGCATAGCATTTGAGCTGCACAAGACGAGGTTTCCCATTCGGATATTCAACGAATCCAGGGTAATCTCAGTGGAACATGGTATACGCCCCCATTAAATGCATATAAAATATATGAAGTTAGTTTGGCTGGCTTCAGTTCTTGTGCCATTCTCTATGCCTGAGCATAGCCTAAAAAAGTGATCTGACTTATTTGCTCTGAACTTTAGTTTGATTTAAAAAATGTGTGAAGATGCCTATTGATAAAACTCAGTTTGTGACTTTGCTGTCTCTGTGTCTCTGCGCCTCTGTGCCACGGATAAAGGCAAGCGGGGAACGAGAGCAGGCACTGCTCCATGGCAGCGACGACGGTACCCTGCTCTTTGAGGCGGCTACAGATCAGAATATAACCTTCCGCCTCATGGGCGAGGCAGCCACACTGCTCCTGAACGACGTGGACATTGTTGCCCTGCTGCAGCGACGTCGGCGAGCGCAGTCAACTGCCGCACGACGGGAGCCTCTGTCGCTGGACGCGCTGAAGGAACAGTTCCGCAACGTGCAGCGCGATCTGACGCGCTTGGGCAGATGGTTGTCCAATACGCGGAATGGTACACGTCGCACCGGACCTACGCAGCGTGTGCTACGCCGTGATATACAGCGTGTCCAGACAGTTGCGAGCATCCTGATGACTCTCGAGGCGAATCTGCTTAAGGATGACTGCGAGTCGAGTCCCTGCAAGAATGGCGGCACCTGCTACGACGCCTACAAGGCCTTCTACTGCAGTTGCGCCACAGGCTGGCAAGTGAGTAAGCTGAATACAATGGGTGGGCGTCTACAGCGAAGCACGTTGCTCACAAAACGGGGCGTTATCATAAAGCAAAGCTATGGAACGAGAGAGAAAGAGAGAGAACAAATAAATAAGTAAGGTAAAGAAAAAAATAAAAAGAGGGAAAGAGAGAGATAGAGGAAGAGAGAGAGAGAGAGAAAGAGGGAGAGAGGGACACAGAAAGAGAGAAATTTAGATGGAGAATGGGGACTACGCAGAAAACAAGAGAGAGGCAGAGATAGATGCAGGGAGACTGGAGAGAGAGGAGAGAGAGAGAGAGAGAGATAAACAGAGGGAGATAGAGAGAGAGAGAGAGAGAGAGAGCGAGCGAGAGAGAGAGAGAGAGAGAGAGAGATAGAGATAGAGAGAGAGAGATAGAGATAGAGAGAGAGAGATATAGAGAGATAAGAAACAGGAAGAGAAAATGAAGAGAATAGGAAGAGAAACGAGAGCCAAAGAAAGGGATAGAGAAAATGAAGAGTTGAGAAATATTAAGAAGGAATCAAATGTATATTCAATATATATGTATATATTGTGAGAAGACACTGAGAGAGAGCGAGCTACAGAAGAGAGATGAAGTGCTACAAATATGTGGTTATCAGTTTCAAAGGGCTTTCTCTATTAAAAGGTTATCTAAAACTTGTGAAAATAAAAAAATCAACTCATCAATAACCACACAAGACACAAGACAAGAATTATTCAAATATAATGAAAATTAATAAGGAACAAGTTAAATATATCTCTAGATTCTGTATCAATAATCCAAATTTCATATAAAAAAATATGTAATTAAATATGTAAATATATATATGTATATATAATATATATCTATATCTATATTATCATTAGAAAATACATATATATAATTTGCATAAATATTAAAATTTCTAAATAAAAATCTGAAATATTGATCAATAGAAATTTACTAATATTTCTTCCTGATTCTTAATTAATATCAGGGCGCGACCTGCGAGGATGATGTGAACGAGTGCTTTAGGTTTGCCGGCACTGACTTGGCTGTGTGCCAGAATGACGCGCAGTGCATCAATACGCCGGGCAGCTATCGGTAAGTGGAGCAGGAGATTCAAGCGGAATATTGTTATCGTGTTATCTTGCAGCTGCCTTTGTCGCAATGGCTTCTCTGGAGCTCATTGTCGTCTGCGCCAACACGCCTGCCTGAGCAATCAGTCAGCGGAGCTGTGCGGCAGCCATGGCACCTGCTTGCCGTCCAACAACGCGGCTGGTTATGTGTGCATCTGTGATCCGGGCTGGACCTGGGCGGATACGAACGTCAGCATAGCAAGCACCAGTCCCTGTACACGTGACGTGAATGAATGTGCGCCAGATGTGAATCCCTGTCACGATGAGTGCATCAATTTGCCGGGCAGCTTTCGCTGTGGCGCCTGTCCGCCCGGCTATACAGGTGAGGCAAGCGCCATGACATTTGAGGAATGCCAGAAGATGCCCATTTGATCTGATTCCAGGTGATGGCAGGCACTGCCAAGATCTTAACGAGTGCGAGGATGGCAACAATGGGGGCTGCAGTCAACGCCCTTTGGTCAACTGCATCAATACGGAAGGTTCCTTTCGATGCGGCCGGTGTCCGCCTGGCTGGACGGGCGATGGTCGGGTCTGCAGTGAGGCCAAGTCCAACTCGTGCAACGGCGAGTCCATTTGCCATTCAAGTGCCGAGTGTGAGTACATTTCCGGAGCAGTCGTTTGCAGTTGCCCTGCCGGATTCTTTGGCCATGGCTACGGAGCTGATGGCTGCACTGAGGACTCCAGCCGGAGGCCCTGCGATGATCATCGCTGCCTGAACAATGGCACCTGTGTTCTCAGTGGACGCGGCACCAGCTGCATATGTCAACCGGGCTACACGGGCGCCTTGTGCGCCGAGGCTGATGCCTGCCATCCGAATCCCTGCGAGAACAACGGCATCTGCCGTCTGCTGCCAAACAATAGGTATCGGTGCGTGTGCCCGTCCGGCTTCACGGGCAGCACTTGCTCCCATGTGCGCAGCTACTGTGGCGTCGTCTTACGCAACGAGACGGGTCGCCTGCAGTTGCCGCCCGGCAGCACTGGCTATCAGCCCAATGAGCGCTGCGCCTTCATCATCCGCACGCGCCCCGGCCTCGTGCTGAACGTGACCTTTGGCATGTTCGATCTGCAGCAGACGCCAGCTGACTGCAGCGCCGACTTTCTGCAGCTGCACGATGGCAGCTCGTTGACCGCCAGGCAAATCGGACGGTTCTGTGGCACTCAGCTGCCTTTGGGCAACGGCCAGGTGGTGTCCACCCAGGAGCAGCTGTTCTTCTGGTTCCGCTCGGACAATGAGACACAGGGGCGAGGCTTTAATCTGACTTGGCATTCACAGCCGTTGCGGTGCGGCGGTTCCTTAAGCCTGGCTCTGGGCGACAGTGGCGTCTTGCGCTCGCCCAGCTATCCGGGCAAAGCGCGCCCCGGCCTAAGCTGCCGTTGGGTCTTGAGAGCGCCGTTTGGCAATCGGGTGATCCTGCGCTTCTATGAAATTACTTTGGGCAACGGTGTAGATAACAGGCAATGGTCGACCAACTGCAGCAACGGGGATTCACTTGGAGTTTGGGAGTCGGACCGACTGCTTTACATGGCCTGCCAGTCGGAACAGCCGGCGCCCTTGCACAGCTCTTCGAATCTATTGCACATTCTGCTTCACACGGACCTGAATCGCGCGGACAGCTCGTTCCAGCTGCACTACGAGGTTGTACCGGGCCATCCGGGCTGTGGTGGCGTCTTCAGCGAACCGAGCGGCGTTGTTATCGGCCACATGAACGCCAAGCTCTGTTTGTATCTCATTGAACAACCGATTGGAACGCAGATCGAGCTGAACTTCCTGCGGGTTAAGCTATTGCATGACTGCTCCCTCCAGAAGCTGGAGATTTTCGACGGACGCACTGATGAGGAGCCGCTACTGCGTCGCTATTGCGGAGAGCCAGAGCAGGATGAGCTGCAGCCCGTTACGTCTAAGAGCAATGTGATCCTACTGCGCTATGAGTATGCTCTGTCCGGCATTGAGTTGAGCAAAAGCTTTGAGCTGCGCTACACGCGAGGTAGGTCCCTCAACCAGGTTGATTAATAAAATATATATATAATAAAATATGATCCCTGTTCAGTTTGCAGTGGCACATATACGGACAGAGCTGCAGAAGGTGGAGTTATAACTAGTCCCAACTATCCGAATTACTACTTGGAGCAACTGAACTGCACCTACCAAATACGTGGAAGAGCAAGTACCCTTTTGCGCATTAACATCACGGATCTATCGTTTAGTGAAGCAGAGCCTGAGGATCAGCCCAGCTACCTGGATGTGAGTGAGCCACAGTCTAAAAGTAACAGTTATTTTCAAGATTCGTCTGATCCACAGGTGTATCTGTCCCTAAACTCGAGTGAGAAGCAACGCTTGCTCAAAAATCTGACGAACACCTTGCTGATCTCAGAGAACAATCAAGCTCGCTTGGTCTTCCACGGTGCCAGCAATCCGCAGCACGCTCGTGGCTTTCGTATCGAATACAGCTTTATCCCGGCACAATATGGCGGAGTATTAATCCGGGGAGCTTCTGATATTTATGTTGGCAGAGACTTCTGCCAGTGGATCATTGAGGAACCAGGCCAGAAGCACTTGGAAATCATTTTGCGAAGCTCTTATCTGCAATATGTCAAAATAAATATATACGACAACAGCACAGGCGCCGAAGGCAGACTGTTAAACAGTTACCAAAGCCACGCACATCTCACTGACAGTATCAGTGAATACTTCGACTCGAACCTGGTAACAGTTACTGCTGAAAGCGCTTCTATGTTGTATATAATGACAATCACATATGAACTGGCCAACCAAGGTACCTTAAGCACGTCTAGGCCACAACCCATTTCAACCGATTTCATTTGCAGAGTGCGGCATCACTTCTACAGCTCGATTTGGAACCATCAAATCTCCGAACTGGCCCGCAAAGTATGCCTCATACTCAAATTGTACTTGGCTAATCAAGGCGCCGCTCGGCAATCGCATTGAGTTGATTGTTCACAACTTTACGCTGGAAACCACATCCGAGAGGTGTACAGATGACTATCTGGAGATAAGGTAATGATCAGCTTAAGATACATGTTATATATTTCGTCCATGACAAACTTAAATAAGCCCTGGGATGCTACTCTTAAGGCAACAAATTCACATCAGATGTCAGATTATTATTAGAATTAGTAGAACACAAAAGACTTTTGCTCATTTAGAATTTAACATAAATTAATATTTTATTTAAATGTCTATATAATATGATCGAAAAGAGCTTTGCAATACGAATGGATTAAGAATCATACTCAAAATTCGATTCTTTGATCATATCTCACGCGTTTTAAATTTAAATTAAATTTAATCCACATTTTGGATAGTTTCCTCAGTCTGCTCAAAACACAAAAAAGCCATACAAATTAGGACTAGGCTAGTCCTCGGCACAGATTAGAGCCCATCCCAAGCTAAGCTCCAGCTACAGCTCTAAGCTCTGTGCATCTAGAATTGTTAGCTTACAGATGAACTAGACCCAAGATTCACTCTCTCAACTCGCATTCCCTCCATCCATATAGGAATGGTGATCAGCCTACGTCCCCGCTCATTGGGCTCTACTGTGGCAACCGCATACCACCGCGTGTACCGTCATACGGCAATGCGTTGTGGTTGCACTTTCACTCGGACAACTATGGCGAGGAGACTGGCTTCCATATCACTTGGCAGCAGTTGGCTACGGGCTGTGGCGGCAAGCTCAGCTCGCCCACGGGTGCCATCCACTCGCCGCACAGCATAGAGAACAACCGTGGGGCAGTGTGCTGCGACTGGCAGATCAGTGTGGCTCAGGGCTCCACTGTGCAGCTGTCTCTGCAGAGCCAGGACCCCGGTCTGTGCAATGGCCAGTTGACTATTTTTGATGGACCCAGCACGCGCAGCAAGCCAATCTCTTGGAGTTGCCGAAACGAAGGTCGGCGGCTGCTATTAAACTCCAGCAGCAATCACGTCGTGGTTCGCTATAATGTTGATAAGGAGACGCCGGAAGGCATTGACTTTGTATTGGACTACTCAACCAACTGTCGTGTGCGGCTGGAAGAGATGCGAGGCGCCATCGAAACACCCAATTTTCCGGACAGCTATCCGGCCAACGCGAACTGCGAGTGGGACATACGTGGCGGCGCACGAAACAATCGCATCCAACTGTCCTTCTCCCACTTGACCGTTGAGCAGTTTGGTCCAACTAGTTGCGACTTTGACTATGTGTCGCTGAGCGACTATCGCGACGAGCAACTCATCAGCGAGCGTCGCCTGTGCAACGCCAAAGATTTTGACTTCACCAGCGTGGGTAATCGCGTGCTGATCCGCTTCAGTAGCGACAGCTCGACGGAGGCGCAGGGATTTCATGCTGAATACAAGCGCCTTGGCTGCGGCGAGGAGCTTCAAGGAATGGCGGGCTCCTTCGAAACACCCAATGCCCCCTACAGCGTGGATGTCGACTGCGAGTGGCTGATCACAGTGCCCGAGGGCAATCAAATACGTCTGCTCCTCAAGGAAGTGCACATTGAGACGTCGCAGCGCGACTGCAGTGACGACCTGCTCTCAGTCCTCGCTGACAGCAACTCATCGCACCTACTCTACAGCAGCTGCCACGTCGAGTCCGCCGTGCAAACGCTCATTTCACCTGCCAACGAGCTGCGGGTGCGCTTCCATAGCAGTGCCCAACGTTCCCGCAAATACATGAAAGCCAGCTATGTCATGTTCAAGGCTGCCTGCGGCGGCTACGTGAGCACCTCTAATGGAGTAATAACATCGCCCAACTTCCAAGGGCAAGGCAACGACATCTCTGACGAGAATTTCGAGTGCGTATGGCGCTTAGAGGCAAGTTGAAAGTGATTTATCTAAGAAAAGAGATGACGAGACAAGATACCAGAAGAACAAAAAAGGAGGACGGGAGGAAATAGTGGGAGGAAAAAAGATAAAAGTAATTTGGGAAAATAAAAAGAGAATTTAATTGAAGAGAGCAGAGAAAAGAAAGGCATGGATAAGGAGAGGAAAAAGAAAATATTAGAGAAAAGAAGTAAAGTGAAGCTAAAAGAGGAACAAGAAAAGCGTAGATAGCAAAGCTAGAAAGAAAGATAAAAGTAACTCAGAGAAAATAAAAAAGGGAATTTTAATGAAGAGAGGATAGAAAAGAAAGTTATTGATAAGGAGCGAACAAAGAAAATATTAGAGAAAAGAAGACAAGACAGGACAATAAAAAAGATAAAAAATAAAAGAGAAGAGAAGAAGGAGAGGGAAGAAAAATTAAGGATAAAAGAATAACAGGAAAAGCATTAATAGCTTAGGTAGAAAAAAAGATAAAAGTAATTAAAAAGAAAATAAAATGTTATAATAATAAAAATAAAATGTTAGAATAAAATGTTATAAAAAAGAAGATAAATGAAGATAACGAAATGCCAGGAAAGGCATGGATAACAAAGGTAGAAAGAAAGATAAAAGTAACTCAGAGAAAATAAAAAAGGGAATTTTAATGAAGAGAGGATAGAAAAGAAAGTTATTGATAAGGAGCGAACAAAGAAAATATTAGAGAAAAGAAGACAAGACAAGACAATAAAAAAAGATAAAAAATAAAAGAGATGAGATGAAAAAATATTAAACAATACAATTGATGATAAAAGAAGAACAGGAAAAGCATAATTAATTTAGGTGGCAAAAAGATAAAAGTAATTAAAAGAAAATAAAAAGGGAAATAAAAGAGAAGAGAAAAAGGAGAGGGGAAAATAAAATGTTATAAAAGAAGAAGATAAATGAAGATATTGGAATGCCAGGAAAGGCATGGATAACAAAGGTAGAAAGAAAGGTAAAAGTAACTAAGAGAAAATAAAAAAGGGAATTTAATTGAAGAGAGCAGAGAAAAGAAAGGCATGGATAAGGAGAGGAAAAAGAAAATATTAGAGAAAAGAAGTAAAGTGAAGCTAAAAGAGGAACAAGAAAAGCGTAGATAGCAAAGCTAGAAAGAAAGATAAAAGTAACTCAGAGAAAATAAAAAAGGGAATTTAAATGAAGAGAGGATAGAAAAGAAAGTTATTGATAAAGAGAGGAAAAGAAAATATTAGAGAAAAGAAGACAAATGAAGATAAAAAGAACAAATAAAAGAAGAAAGAAAGCTAAAAGTAATTAAGAGAAAATAAAAAAAGGTAAACAAAGAGAACAGAAGAAGGAGGAAGGAGAAGAGAGTATTAGAGATAAATGAAGAAAAAAGAACAGGAAAAGCATAGAGCAATACACCAAAAGAAGCGATGTCCAGAGGACAACAGAAATGAAATCGAGGGAAGAAGAGGATAGTATATATATGTACATCTAGAAACTTCTAATAATACAGAAAGATAATTGAAAGTGGACTTCTCGGCTATGAAGCAACACACGTTAAAAGAAGGATCGCATTTGAATATCCCTTGTTCATTGAGTAGCATCTTCTTATTTAGGCTAATCCTTGTATTTCAGGTAGCTGACACCTATGGCTTCTTGTTAATGTTTGATGCGTTCAACTTGACCGAGTCGGCCAACTGCAGTGTCGCCAGCTTGGAGCTGTCGCACTTAAGCGACGCCAATGGCGGCAAGGAACAGTTGATAAAGCGAGCCTGTGGCGAAGCGTTTCCCAGCACGAAAGTGGTGCAAAATCATTTGCGCTTGCACCTCAGGGTGTCAGCCGGCTTTTGGGGCAAGTTCTCGCTGCACTTTGAGCAGGTGTGCGGCGGAACGCGGACAGAGGGCGAGGGCTATCTGCGCTCCCGTTTGGATGAGACGTGTTACTGGACCATCATTGCCCCGGAGGGCACCAAGATCAGTCTGAGCATACACCAGCTGGAGTGTCAAGGCTGCACGGCATCAGCTGGCAATTGCACGACAGGCTTGCGCGTGCTGAATGCCCTCGACGATGTGGTGTACTTCGATCTTTGTGAGGAGCATCCTGCCCAGCTATTGCTGCCAACCAACAGGCTGGCCATCCAGGCGAGCGGCGTAGCCCTCATGGCGCACTACTCCACCATTGAGAACTCCTGCGGCGGCAATATAACTTCCGTGCGTGGCACCCTCAGCTCGCCCAACTATCCGAACAGCTATCCGGCGAATGTGGAGTGCGTCTGGCTGCTGGAAACGCGCGATGGCAATGCCATGGAGCTAACATTCGAGGCAATGGACATTGTCAAATCGGATCACTGCAATACGGACTTTCTGGAGCTGCGTGCTGGGCTGCTGGGACCTTTGCTTGGCCTCTACTGTGACAACGAGTTGCCCACCGAGCCGCTTTTAGTCAAATCCAAGCTGTGGATCAAGTTTCGCAGTCAGGCTGGCAGCAGCGCCAGTGGCTTCAAGCTGCGCTGGAGCTATGGTAAGTACAGTGAAGTCTCCCCTACTGAAGATGAAGATGAAGATCGCAATTAAGAAACCTTTTAGCCACTGCAAAATACAATTCTAAAGGGCCCAAAGGGTCGATCTCATATTCATAGCTGCAGAGGAACTCAACAAGTTCCCAAACTTTGGGGCTCTAAGTAATCTGACAAAGTACAGACAGACTTATGGGACTCTCTTTTGAGCTCATTAATGCGTAGAATAAGACTTAGCCAGGAATTTATTTCAGTGCACGACAACGAGCTAACGGAAGGCACAAATGGCACCATCGAATCGCCCTCAAAGTTGGCCATACAAAGCGACGATCAGCCCTACACCTGGCGCATCTTCACAGAGCGCGAGCGCGTGGTGATCCTGAACTTCAGGGAATACAACACTGGGCTCCTGGTAAGCATCTAATGCGCAGTAGACATGGCCACGACTTGTTTCACAATAGACAATCTACAGCTGTTCGATGGCTACGATGACACTGCGCTGCCCATTGGCATAGGGATCTCGCCCTGGCAGTTCACCTCGAGCAGTAACGTGATCTATCTTAGGACTGTGAATACGAATTTCGATCATTTTCGAGTGCAGTGGCGCGTACAGCGCAGTGAGGAGCTCAAGTCGAATGTCACTCTAAAGAGCGACATGTGCAATGAGGAGTATACGTTGGACAATGCCCAGGTTAGGCTCAATTCGCCCGGCTATCCGGGCTACAAGCCGAACTTGCGCTGCGAGTGGACCTTCTCTACGAAAGATCCAACCAAGCACGCCTATGTGGATCTGTTTGAAGCGCAGCTGGAGGCCACAGGTGACTGCCAATTCGACTATTTGAGCATACAAACCTCGAGCAATATGATCGACTGGCCGGAACAGCTGCGCATCTGCAACAGCAGCGCGTATAATGGACGTCGGATAAGCCGTGTGCACGGCACCCCGAACATCAGGCTGCAATTTGTCACGGACCCAACGATCAACGGCACCGGGTTCAGGTCGCTCGTGAACACAGAATGCGGCTCCAATATGACGGGCTCCGTGGGCACCATCTTGAACTCCTACTCGCAAAGGCTGCAGAGCACCAATGACGTCGGCTGTGAGTGGCACATTGAAGTGCGCCGCGGCCGAGTGATTGAGATCTCGATTGAATACAATGAAACTGCACTGAACACCACCTGCCTGCACTACGGCATCATCTATGATGGCCTAGACGCATATGCCCCACAGTTGGCGCCGGGTAAGTTTTGCAATCAGTTGGGCTACAATACGGTGCGCAGCTATCGCACCAGCGGACCGCATGCCTACGTTCGATATGTGTATCCGTCGACGAAGCTCAGCCTGCGATCTGTGGAGCGTAGTTGGAATCTAACGTACCGGGAGTTCAATGAATGCGATGAAGAAGTTCGTCTCACCCACTTTGCAAGCAGCTACAACATTAGCTCTCCCGGCTACCCCTACTATCCGCATCCTCACGCCGACTGCACCTGGGTGGTCATTGCTCCGCCAGGCGAGACCATAGCAGCCAGTTTCGTGGACCGCTTTGACCTGAGCCAGCGCAACTGCGACAAGGAATTCATTGAGCTCTACGATGGCAGCACAACGCTAGCTCGACAGCTGCTGCGCACCTGCCGACGCACTGGCACCACGTACAGCTCTGGCAATCTCCTACTGGTGCACTACCAGACGCAGCTGGATCAGCCGTGGGGCGGTTTCCGGTTGAACGTTTCGCTTAGCAGCTGCGGCGGCCAGTTCACCTCGCAGAGCGGCGTCATCGAATCGAATCACTATCCTGCACTGGGCGCCTATCCCAAGCCAGCTGTATGCGAGTACAGCATACACACGCTAACGAGTACGCACATTGAATTGAACTTCACTGATCTGCATTTGCCGTTTGTTGCGACGACCGACGCCGAGTCGCTCGACCGCATTGAAATTTTGGATCTCAGCGATCAGCGACGCATCGTCAAAACACTATTTGGCAATCAGAGCGTTCCTCTTCCAATTCCACTTACCACTAATCAGGTGGCACTGCGTTTCGTCACGAAGCAGCTGAATAACACGTACCGGGGCTTCAGGCTCGAATACAAGTCCTTTCTGGGAACGTGCCAGCAGAAGGTGAATGCGGCCAGTGGCGAATTGGAGCTGAAGAAACCTGTGAGGCCGAACTACATTCGATTTTGTTCTTGGCGTGTGACAGTGCCCAAGGGACAGCGGGTGCGTCTCGAGTTTCTCAATCTGGCTGACTTCAGGAACATGACTTCGACGTAAGTATAGGGGCTTGCGGGTCTGTGGGTCTATTGGCTATGATAATTCGAACTTTGTACCTTTCACGGCATAGATTAATGGCAAGGAAGCCCTTTAGCTTTTACAACGATCCAATCTATTTGTCCAAAATAACTGAGTTCCATCCAAAAGATTACGATGGCAACGGCATTATTAGATCCACGGAAAACTTTATGATGGTTCGCATGAAGATCACGCAGCAAACGGTCACACTGCGAGCGCGCTTTAGCTCCAGTGAAGCCTCGCCCTGTCCAGACGACATTGGCAGCCGGGCCAGCGGCACCATATCTAACGAGCAGCTGATAAGCCTGCCCAGCTATTACTGCACAGTTAGCTTTGTTAACGATCCTGGCACCACGATCAGCTTTACGGTGCAGCAGTATCGCCGTGCGAGCCGAGGCCTGCAAGCGACTGTTCAGCTGTGTGATGATGTCTCTAACATAAGAATGAATTTGATCTTAGAGAATGTTACCTATTCGATGGCCACCACAGCCGGTCACTTGACGCTAAGCAAACCGATGGAGATCGATGCTACGCATTTCCGGGCCACATACCGGCGATACGCCTGCGGCGGAGATCTGGAGCTGGCGGAGGGCAGCATAATCGAGCTACCTCAATTGGGTGAGCACTTCGGCCAGCTGGAGTGCTCATGGACACTGCACAATAGTGACGGATACGAACTAAATGGCAACTTCAGCTTCAGCGATAGCTGCGAACGCGAATACCTCCTGATATCTGATCATAAGATCTGTGGCAATGTAGCGAAGCTGAACACCACACTACTGAACGCGCCACAGATCTTGCTGCGCTACCATGCCACTGCGTATCAGGCTGGCAACAGTCAGTTTCAGCTGCAGGCCAGCAAGCCCAAGTTCCTTGGGGGCTGGGGCAATGTAATAAAGGTCTGGCGGCAGCCAACTCCGCCCATCAGCATTGATGCTCAGAGCTATAGGAATAACATGGAGCTCAGCTGGGAGTTTCGTGCAGCAGGTCAACTGTCACTGGTGCTGCACTTTCAGGGCAGATTCTTCATTGAAACGGCGCCCAATTGCAGCCACGACTACCTGGAGGTGCTCGCATTCCGTCAAGGCATGTGGCAGCCCATAGCCAAGTACTGCGGTCGACAGATGCCCGATCCGCTCTTCGTTGAGGCCAACAGCATGCGAATTGTGTTTCGCACCGATGACAAGGTCACAGGCGATGGCTTCACCTTTGTCGTCGCGCCCAGCTGCGACACGAAACTGGTCGCCAGCACAGAGCTGCAAACGTTGAGATTTATCACGCTTAGTCTCATGCCAGACAAACAGTGCAACATTGAGGTAACGACAGACACCGAACATCAGCTGCTGGTCAGCGTGGTTAAAAAATCTTCATTGCGTTCCGCTGCGCAACTCTGTCGCCTGGCTGACTTCGAGGCCTATCGCCATGATGGCGTGCACGAGCAGGAGCAGGCGCTTGGTAGGCAGTGTCCCAACTTCGAGGTGACTGGCTATAAGAAAGTACGTATTATGTACACGCCCACGCCGGTAGTAAGTATTTCGTTGGAGCTGCAATACCAGCTGCTTGGCTGTGGCGGCAGCCACAGGGCACCCTTTACGCTGCGTCCGCCAGTGGGCAATATGCGCGGGCAGAGCTGTGAGTGGCATGTGTTGGCGCCAGCGCAGCATGCGATCCTTATACACTTTAAGTCCATGGAAATTGAGAGCAGCTATCTCTGCCAGCAAAGCCATGTGAGCATCTATCGAGGCAATGCGGTGAGTGAGGAGCAGAGCCTTGGCCGCTTCTGCGGCAATCTAAGCAATCCCAGTGTTATGGTGGACAGCAACGAGGCAACCATTGTATCCAAGTTGTTTGACTATCGCCAGCCCAGCGGGCACGACTTCTTAGCCAGCGTTCACTTCACGCCCAACTGCAATGAGCATCTGGCCTTGGACGAGGGCAACACACGGATGAGTCTGGTGCGCCACTACCAGCTGAATGACACCAATGGCTCCGACGATTTGCAGTGCTTCTTCCGGGCCAGTGCAGTGCCCGGCTATCGGCTCTCAGTGTGGCTAAAGCAGTTGCAGCTAAACGCGAATCGCTGCAGTCGAGATAGCTGCAACACTCTGGAGGTGATCGATGGCTTCGATAGGGACAGCACCAGCCTGGGCATCTACTCAGCCGTCGTCGGCAACGGCACCAAGCTCTTCAGCTCGACCACGGACCTGCTCATTAAGCTGAGCGGAACGGTGGCTCAGCAGAATGGAATCAGCTTCGAGCTCATCCTGCAAATGGAGGCCACTGTCTGCGGTCAGTTCAAGCAAAACCTGTTCTCAAATGAGGTGCGTTATAGATCCTTAGCCCTGGACACTTTGTTTGCCATTTATATCTTTCCACAGACCGTGAATATTCGCATGAGTAACAGCAACCAAACCAGCGTGGGAGGCAGCATTCACTGTGTGTGGGAGTTCAAAACGTATTCTCCGTTCGAAGTTGAACTGAAATCGGTGCAGCTACAGGATGTGTCCCAGGTGACAGGCAAATGCATCGATTACCTGTACATTTCCATAGAAAATGTGAGCTCCTTTCAAACTAAAACTAAAACTAAAAATTATTAAGCTACAAATCTAAATACTTCAACTCTTAGGAGAACGACAAACATTATTGCGGCCAATTCCATAATACCTCTGTGGGAATCGGAAATAATACCAAGTTCACGTTGACATTCCACAGCAGCAGACAAGAAGAATTGGACGCGATTGATATATCTATTCATAAAAAACCAAGTAGGTCCACATAACTAAGAGAGCTTAAGCTGGATCTCATAATTTAGTACTTTATCTCAGAATGTTTTTACTGCTGCTATGACTCGACGTCTTTTCTAAACTATTCCTCTCTCTCTTAAACTTTTTGCTTATCTATTTCTTTGAGCATCACATAGAAAGGCTTGATTCATATCCTTATACCAATTAATCAATTAAATTATTCTTTACTTCATTAACATTGAATGAATATAGATTGCAATCACACTTACAACGCCCTGAGCGGCATGATTAATTATTATACATTTGATGAAGTGGAGCTAGAGAATTGTACCAACGATATACGGGTCCCAGATAAATATTACTTGACATTCGTAATAATGTTCATCAGTCTTGAGCACACATCCAGCCCTGCTATGTTCAATGTAAGTAAATTATTTATTTAATATTTTTTTATATTGTATTTTCTATATATATATCTATATCTATTTCTATTCAAATTTACTTTATAGATAACGGATCTTCGGACAAATCGTTCGATCTATAATTTACCAGATAGCGTCTATAACGCATACATTCATAGCCAATCAAATGCGATACGTTTATCGGGCTCGGGTGTGAGCTATCTGCAGATTTCATATTACTCCGCGGATAGCAAGCTTCTCCCGGGCTGTGGTGGCGAGTTAAACACTCTAGAAGGCCAATTCACGAATCCTGACTACAATAATCGCAACTATTCGGACTGCAGCTGGCACATATCCGTGCCGGGGGGCAGAACTCTGCAATTCTCTTTCAAAAGTAAGTTCGAAAGCATCTCAAATGCATATTCTATATACGAATAACTGACTTATCTAATACTTAGCGTTCGACATGGGCTCTGAGGCCAACTGCCAGCTGGATAACATCAAGGTTTACGAGGTGCTGCCCGACTTCAGCGAGAAATTGCATCACACTTTCTGTGGTCAAGTGGAACCGGCCGCATTCTTGGTGAAGTTCAATAAAATAAGAGTCGTGGCCAAAAAATCGCCCAACTTTGATGGAATTGGATTTCAATTGTACTACAACGTTGAATAATTCCATTCGGGTTTACTATATATAATACATGTTTATATGTAATTGGTTTTCAACTTAAGGAAATAAATAGTTTATATCCCTCTTGGCGCTAGTGCTTGCTTTTCTTCTTCTTGGACTTGTGCTTTGATTTCTCGCTCTTCTTCGACTTTTTCTTGGCCTTCTGTTTTGACTTCTTGGACTTCTTGGAGCTGGACTTCTTGGTCTTTGATTTCTTAGCCTTTGCTGCGGCTTTATTGCTGTCGTCACTGCTGGAATCGGTGCTATCCTCGTCGCTATCGTCGGTGCTGCTGAGCGTGCGTTCCACCCAACGTTCCGCTTTGCGTTTCTTTGGCGCGTGCTGCTGCCAGAGCTGTTGCAGCTTGGCATCGATGCTTGCCTCGGCCTGGGTTTCAGTTGGCTTCAGCTGACTGGGTAGCTTCGGCCCGTAGAGGTCCACTTGTGGCACCTCTGCCATGGCTAGTTCATTATCGTTTTTCAGCCGCTCCTCGCGCGATTTGTATGCAATTTTCAACTTGTTGCCTTCAATGGGCGCAAACTTAGCTGGAGCTGGTTCTGTCGGCTTGTTCACCTGCTCCTCTGCTGGCTTGAATAGAGCCGCAAATATGCCTCGTGGTGGTGAATTGTTCCGCAACAAATTGGCCGCAGCCGCAGACGTGATTGTGGTGCTTGGCAGGCCCAGAGCAGCTTGCATGTCATTTATTTTAACATTCGTCTGGAGCTGCTGCTGCTGCTGCTGTTCCTGTGCTGCCGTAGATTCTGGCTCCTCGTCACTGTCATCGAATATACTCTTGAAGAGATCAGTCTTTTCGGAAATGGGCTTATCACGTGCTGCCTCTACCGCGTGTTCCAGAGGCGTCCTTGGCACAAAAACAGGCTTGGCCGCAGGACTGTTGGCAGAGTTCAGCGGTGCTATTACCGTCGATTCTACTTCCTTCTCCTCGGCACTGGCTGCTGTTGCTGGTTGCGAAGTTGACGGCGTCAATTGCAGCTGCTGTTGCTTGGGTGGCTCGATATGCTTGGGGATAATGGTAGGCGTCTGGAAATTCGCTTTGGTATTGACTGAAGTTTCTAAGTAGTCAAATATTGACATTTTGGCTTTGCCTTTTAGTTCCTTTTCGGCTTCTGGTAGAGCACCACCAAAGGGTTCCGCGATATTGTAACGCTTGCATAGCAACGCGCTAGGCTTCCACATAACCTTTGTGCGCTTCATAACAATTTTAAGCTTCTCTTCCGGTCGAACTTCCTCTGCTTTCTGTGCCTGCACCGTCGCCTCTGAAACAAATCTGTCGAGCATGAGACCGGCCAGTGGTCGATAGATTTTTGCCGCCTGCACAAACTCCTTTTTCTCCATTTCACGATCCCACAAAGACAGCGTTACAGGCTGTAGTTCGGCCAGAAATTCGGTAATCTCTTTATCGTCTTTAAGATTTGCTGCCAGAAACTTCTCATAGCGTTCTTGCTTAGCTTCGTCTGCCAGAAAAGGCTTGAATCCAGTGGTGGGTTTGCTAGATGCTGCGATGAAAAAACAATTGACATGGATATTGCTTGCATTATATCAGTTGCATACATACCTAAATTCTTTGTCTTGCTGGCAGCCTGTGCCTGGAGTGCAGCATTAGATTGCTGCAGCTCTTTACTGAGCTCAATCGACGCCACCGGCAGTTCCTCGCCGGTTGTGGTAATGAGTCCACCCTTCGTAAAATTGCTACTCTTAGCGGTAATTGCCTCAAGCAAGGACTTGCTGCGTTCCTGCTGCTGTTGTGTGCTGACACTACTTCCCGTCTTAAAGGGATTCTTTTTGGCCTGTGACTCGCCAAGCAATTGAGCACGTTGCTCCGGATTTAGATCATGTCTACCTAGGCCCGCCTTCTTATAGTCCGTTTCGGCTATTTTACGCGCACGTTCTGCATCCAAGGGCGTAAACCGGCTGCGACGCTGGAGCCAGTTGCGAGGCTGAAAGTCACGGGGCAAATCAATTGCATACGGCTTATTGTGGGTGCTATTAGTCTTGTCCTCGCTGAAGCCATCGATCACATGACGCTGTTGCACATGCTGCGTTTTCTTCTGTTTGGGCTGTTTATCCGCCAGCGAGAAGTCATAGCGTGTCATGTCGTCCCTTGCATAGATATCCTCGTCCTCTTCCTCGAACGCTCCCACACCAAAGGCCTGACCGCGTATGGACAGCTGCTTCTGCTTAGCCGCTGTCTCCAGCTGGCCAAAGAGGTTAATGTGCTGCATGGGTGCTACAATCGTGCTGCTCTTTGACAACACTGGTGCACGGCTGAGACCCGAGTAACTCATGCCAAAGCGATTGTCTTTGGGAGTATAAAACATGGGCTCATAGTCATCGGGAGCAAAGGTAACGTCGTCATCCTCATCTTCGTCTTCGTCTTTATCATCCTCATCTTCAGCTGCACTGTGCTGTTGCTTGCTCAACTGTGGAAGGCCCTCATCGCCGTAATGGTCCAGCAAGTATTGTTCCCTTTTGTTGCGCGCTGTTGCCTGTTGTTTTTCTTTGCGCGTTTGTCGCGGGCCCACTCCCTGACCGGGCTTCCAGCCCATGCTCTTTAGTATGCGTACGGCAACCTTATCACGTACGGGACGTAACAGTTGTTCTAGGACAGGTACACCGGGAATGGGTCCAGCCACCTGTGGCTGCATAAGCTTACGCTTGCGCTGACCCGTTCGTTGCTCTTGCTCGCTCTCCTTGGCGAATTCATCTCGTGTGCGAATGCCCTGGGGGGCAATTCCAAATTCACCCAAATCCTCCTTGTCCATGAAGTCTTCAGGCCGTTGCTGCACTTTGCTCGCTTTTTCGCCGCGTGAACTCTTGAAATTCTGTGGCGTCCAACCTTCCAGCGAACCAACGGTATTCCAAAAACCAGCACTAAAGCCCCCAGTAAAGGCACCATGAAACCGGCGTTTACCATTTTCATCCTTAACAATTTGATCCTCAATCGCTAGCGGCTTCTTGGCAGGCACCTCATCTGAAAACATATATAATTAATACATTTTATTGTATTTTCACAATACTTACCTTTCTCAAGTGGCTCCAAAGGTGTGCCAAACCGGTGTAAATGCTCTTCCTCGTCCATATTTATTTATTAGTTTACGAAATTTAGTTTGTTCACAACTTTCAGTCCATTTAGTTCGCGCTCAGCTGGCAAATAAACGTAAACAAGATGACAGTGCTGCCAGACTGCTATAATTTCGAATATCACAATATTTCATATAAACTGCTTTGCGATATATCGATGTTCTGAAATCATTGCTGAACCTTCATTCGGATAGCTACACGTTTAAGTAACCAATATCGTGACATCTCACATCTCTACCTCACAGCTGTTCAGCTCTGGAAATTTGCGAATTTAGAATTTTCCACAAGAATTACTTTGCAAATAGTAAAAAGCATTTGCCTTTGTTTTTTAAATTGTAAGTATTGTATACGTATGCATGCATACGCATCCTATCCGAACTAGATGGTAGTTGCAGATTTGCATCATCTTGTTGAGCTCTTTCGGTGACTAATGATGTCAACATTTTAGTTTCTCTTTTTCTCCAATAAGCTACCTGGCGTTAGCCATATTTAAAAGCTGGACGTGACTAAAACAGGTGCATAAAAAAATTGAGGTGAGTTCTGCAATTTGATTTGCAGTATGCATATATATATTTAAATTTTATTCTAATGCGTATATTTTTTTCGACGAACATACACACATACCCACATACAAACATGCACGTACACGTTCACAAACATATAACGTCATCTAACGCCAGTTTTATAACGCACACACGCACAAAACTGGCCCAGGTGACGGCAGTGCATCAAGATGTCGGAGAAGAATATAAAAGTGGGCGCCCGAGTCGAACTGACCGGCAAGGAGCTGTTCGGCACGATCGCCTACGTTGGCATGACCAGCTTCGCCGTAGGCAAGTGGGTGGGCGTGGTACTGGACGAACCGAAAGGCAAGAATAGCGGTTCCATTAAGGGACAGCAATATTTTCAGTGCGAAGAGAATTGCGGCATGTTTGTGAGGCCCACGCAGCTGCGAGTGATAACACCAGCGCCAGAGACGGCGCCCGGCAGCGGTAGTTCAGGCAGTGCCACACCCACGCTGCAACCCACAAAGGCACGGCTTAGCGGATCACGCGCATCACTCTCATCCAGTCGCCAATCATTACTTGGTTCACGCACACAGCTAACAACATCGTTGAGCGAGCGCACTGGCTCTAACAGTAGCCTGGCAACACGAAAATCGCTTGCGCCCCAAAGCAGCAAGGATAAAGATGCTGCCACCGCAGCATCTTTGTCTGGTGAAGCCGGCGCAACAGCATCACCAGCCGCATCCAAGCGCGCCTCGTTTGTGGAGACAGGTTTTCTAGAGATTCTGAAGCCACAGTTTACGCCATCGCAGCCAATGCGGTCACCTTCGTTTACCGCGCCCCCGAATACAACAGAGGACAAAGTGGCCTTGTTAGAGTCACAAAAGATAAGCGCAGAGCTGCAGACCCAACTGGCCGATGTCACCGAGAAATTGGAAACGCTCAAACAGCGTCGCAACGAGGACAAAGAGCGTCTACGCGAGTTCGATAAGATGAAAATTCAATTCGAGCAACTGCAAGAGTTTCGGACTAAGATCATGTCAGCCCAGGCCTCGCTACAAAAGGAGCTGCAACGCGCCAAGCAAGAGACGAAGGATGCCATCGAGGCCAAGGAGCGGCATGCCCAGGAAATGGCTGAGCTCTCCGACAATGTCGAAATGATCACACTCGATAAGGAGATGGCCGAGGAAAAGGCCGACACGCTGCAACTAGAGTTGGAGTCGAGCAAGGAGCGCATTGAGGAGCTGCAAGTAGACCTAGAGCTGCTGCGTTCCGAGATGCAAAACAAGGCAGAGACTAACATAACCGCCTCCGATGGCGGCATGTCCACCTACGAATTTAAGCAGCTGGAACAGCAAAATATACGCCTTAAGGACACGCTGGTGCGCCTACGTGATCTAACAGCGCACGACAAACATGACATACAAAAGCTGACCAAGGAGCTGGAAATGAAGCGCTCCGAGGTCGCCGAACTGGAACGCACAAAGGAGAAACTCAGCTCGAAGATCGATGAACTGGAAGCCACAGTCGCCGACTTGCAGGTGAGCTTAATACTTTTACTTTCAATTATGGATACAAGCAGGCCTGTTCTTCATAGCCTGCAACTAAAGCTCACTGAATTCGTTTTTATCTGCATTTGTTTCCATTGCAATTGAGAATTATGAAAAACTTCTGTTAAAGATATTTTGATTGTGTTTTTATTTGCTGTTTTCTTGGGCAATAGATGTGACTTAACAGAATTAGTTTTTCTATCAACTCATAAAATGGGAACAGGCCTGAATAAATGAGTTTACTCTATAAAAACCACGCTCACAATAAACACTTCAATCTGTTTTAAGCTTGTTTGCTTTCGCTTACCTTTACCTTGCTCTTCCGCTCTCTTCTTAAACCACACGCACAATTTCATGGCTTCGGTTCGCTTTGCTGTAGTTGAACTTATCACAACATTTCGTTTGTCACATTAAAATGTCTGAGAATTTGCTGTCAATCGCTCCAAACTCTAAATAAATGTGAAATTTTCATTTAATTTCTTTGCCGGCATATAAAATGGTTTGCAGGAGGTAATTTCCAATTGTTCAAGTTTCTGTTCATTTCATGCTCCATTTCCCCAAGAGTTTTCAACATTTTTCATATTAAGTTAAGCATCTCTTCCATTGTAAATCCAAAGGCTTAATTTCACACAAGAAACAATTATTATTGCAATTGTAATTCTCAAGGAACAAGTCGATGCTGCACTGGGCGCCGAAGAGATGGTGGAGCAGCTGGCGGAGAAGAAAATGGAGCTGGAGGACAAAGTAAAGCTGCTGGAGGAGGAAATTGCGCAGCTTGAGGCACTGGAGGAGGTGCACGAGCAGCTGGTGGAGAGCAATCACGAGCTGGAGCTGGATTTGCGCGAGGAACTGGACCTGGCTAACGCCGCCAAAAAGGACGTGTTGCGCGAACGCGATGCGGCCATTGAGACCATCTACGATCGCGACCAGACCATCACCAAGTTCCGTGAGCTCGTCCAAAAGCTAAACGAACAGCTGATCGAATTGCGCGAGCGCAGCTCCAACAATGACCAAAAGTCCCTGCAAGACCCCAGCCTTAAGCTGGCCACCGAGACCATCGACTACAAGCAAATGTTTGCCGAGTCGAAGGCCTACACGCGCGCCATTGATGTCCAGCTGCGCCAGATTGAGCTGAGCCAGGCCAACGAGCATGTCCAGATGCTGACCGCCTTCATGCCCGAATCGTTTATGAACCGTGGCGGCGACCACGACTCCATATTGGTTATTCTACTAATCTCACGTATTGTGTTCAAGTGTGGCATTGTTGTCTCGCAGACGCGCGAACGCTTCCCAGCCGTTGAGGCGGTCACACGCGAGGCAGTCACCCAGGGTCATGCGGTGCAGCAATATGCCTTCAAATGCCGCCTGATGCACTACATCCACAATCTGCAGTGTGCGCTGCATCAGATCCTTTACGGTCTCAATAGCTGCCAGCCGGACACGCTGCTGCGCGCTGGCAGCTCGTTGCCAGAGATGGTGGCTCAGGAGAAGATCGTCGATGGCATCATCGAGCTGCTGAAATCGAATCAGCTGGACGAGAACAGCACCACGGACAACATTGAGAAATGTGTGGCCTTCTTCAACGCAATGAACTCGGTGCTGCTGGCAGGCGAACAGCTCCTGAACGAGACGCAAATGATACGCGATTGCGTAGCCTCGCTGGGCGCCGCCTGTGAGTCCATACTGAATGATACGGCCATTGCCAAGGTGATTATCCAGGAGGCGGGTGCGACCAGTGATTCGATGCTGCTCATACAATTCCTCAACGAGCACATGGAGAGCATCAAGCAGCAGGTGAAGCTGATCAAGCGACGTCTGCCCAATGATCAGCATGTGATCAAGTGTGGTCTGTCGCCGCACAAGATGGATGCAATGCGAGCGCTGGCCCAGAATATCAGTCGAATCATGTCCGCCATGCATTTGGCCACTAAGCAGGCGCTGGCAGCCATTGTAGCCAACATCGAGAGCGACAATGCGGCGGAGCACACGCTGCCACAGGATAAGTACTGGTCCCTGTTGTCGTCGGCCTGTGAGCGTATCTACGAGCAGGACGATCGTGGGCCCACGCAGAACTTTAAGGCGCTGCTGGGTCAGGCCAATGCGGATCTGCAGCACATTGCCCAGCATTTGCTAGACAAGGAGTATGAGATTATGTCAGCCGCTGGAACAGCTCCACGTCCCCAGACGCTCAGTACGCCCATCCATCAGCGTTCGCAGCTGATCAAAAAACAGCTGGAGCAGAAGAATGTGCTGGCTGCCACGCTAGAGAATCGCGAGGCGGACATCAAGCAGCTGAAGCTGGCGGCCAAGATGAAGCTGAACGAACTCAGCGAAATGCAAATACGGAAGGATCTTGCGGAGAAGAAGCTGAGCGTGCTGCAAGACGAATACGAGCATGCGGTGGGTAAGTGGAAGCTACAGTACGAGGAGACGCACAAGAAGCTGTTACAAAAGGAAAAGGAATTCGAGGAGACCATGGATCATCTGCAGAGCGACATAGACGCGCTGGAAAGCGAAAAGAGCGATCTGCGCGACAAGCTGAAGCTGAACACCAGCGCCGGCAAGAGCCTGACCTCCGATTCGCACTCCTCGCTCCACAACCTGTCCGCCACGGGCACTAGCAGCGCCAATGTCAGCTACACAGCGCCCGCTGGCACCGCACCACTGGTGGCCGAGGAGCTCCAGCTGCTCAAGTGCGCCTTCAACAATGAGCGCAACGAGCGCATGCGTCTGCAGGCTCAGGATATGCGCGCCAAGCTGCAACAGTTGGAGCCGATCTATGTGCCCCAACCACAGGATCAGCGCATCAATGCGCTCGAGTCTCAGCTGACCAAAATGAAGCATGCCTGGGTGCTGTCGCTGCTGCAGGTGCAGGCCAAGGGCAGCGGCATGTCGGCAGCCAATATCAACACCATCGCGCTGCAGCGTCGCAATCAGCCGCTACCCCAAAAGGCGGAGATCTGCACGCGCGCCTCTCGTCTCGCCTCGGACATACTGAATGAGTATCTGCAACGGAAGCCGCATCGTGCGTCAGCGGGAGAATTTGCCGCCTTTCCCACCGTCGATGTGAAG